AGTAAGACTCTGCATAGAACAATCTTTCCAGTATCAGAAATGCGATTGATTGACGCCAAAATATCAACTTTCCAAACAAAATTCAAAAGGTGATCTAAGTAAGACACTCTGCAGAGAGCTATCATTTTCCAAAATGATCAAAATGCCAAACAAGGTGGGATCAAAAACTGACCTTTCCAGAGATTATATCGTCGGAGAAAGCGCAGATAGAATCAAGTGTGTTCTCGATCAAGGTCTTTAAAGTAGGCTTAGGTGCGAGCTTGGAGTTCCTAAGCCAGTAATGTCCAACCATCCTTCCTTCATCCGGATTCGCTATAGACCCTTTTTCAAGATCCTCCATAGCCTTAAACGCAGTCTGAAACCGGGGCTCCATTTCGGCCACAAACTCATCGGTGAATCCGACCCGACTAATATCCAGATACAACCCGAGCTCTTTCTGCTGATAAAACCAATCGAGGTATCGCTTCCACAACGCATCCGGATCCTTAAGAAGCTCTTTCTTCGAATCCGCATGTGAAATGTCGCGCGCCACGGAGCGAGCCGAGGAGAGAGTCAACGGTAGATTGGTGGGTTTGGAGGTATGTGGGAAAGAGAAGGAATCTCGGGATAGCGCCGGCAATGCTTTAAAGGAAAGGTTTTTGGAAGGTTTGAGAGATGGAGAAGAAGAGTAGAGGCCTGAGAGAGAGGCCATCGTAGAGACAGCGATGTTTACGAGGGAAGAGAGTCAGTCAACAATGGAGAGAGAGATAGAAAGAGAAAGGGTGGAGCTTTATATTCGAGGGTTCGTTTAGTTTATTCCGATTTGATTGATATTTTTTGGGAGGAACCAATGAACAGAGATGAGTGCGGGAGAGAGATTTGTCCTTTGGTGGGAGCGAACGGCCCTGCTTAGATTAGGTAGGATTCACAAAGCTTTTATCACTCTTCTTACGACTGACTATATATCAGTATTATTGTCTCAATTGGCATCATATTCTATTTTGTTTCACATGGCCCGCCAATTTTCAGATGTTTTGTTCTCTTCAGAATAACTACCACTCTTTTTAGTTGAAGAGCAAAAACTAGCACTTAAACACTCTACTCTACACTATAGGATGAATGGTATGTGTTGTTAAACTATTTGTATGTGTTCGAGATGATATTTTGAGTTTATTAAAATGATCATTTGGAGTATGGTTGTTCTTCAAAGAACCTTTGAGTTTGTGGGACTCCTGACATAAAAATTCGACATCTAGAGAACAAATGAGATCATCACTCTCATAAAACAAAAGAGTTATCCATGGCTCATTGAGAAGAAATGTTATTGGTTTCATACAATTCAATAGAATTTAGTCAAAACTTTGCAATCAAATCAATTGTAATTGAGATTCAATTGAAAAGACCAAAAAAAATACACAAATGACTCAAATAAATGGTATTTTGTTGTTTTCTGACATAAATTTGATGTATGTATTCCGCTAAAAATCATAAAAAGAACAAAAATCTCCAACTGAAATTGTATAGTTTGCACGAGGAATGAATCTGACCCAAAAATGTGCAGAAAATTTGAGGACACTAATTCTAATTTGTGGTTTAGGAGATAAACATGATGACATCATATTTATAAACAGAAGAAAGGGAGAAAAAATCGTAAGGAGATTAAAAAAAAAAAAAAAAAAAGTTATTCTTTCGTTCGTCGTGGTCGACCATTGAGGGAGGTCAGACCAGAAGTCGCTCGCGAGCCTTTTTAATTGCGTAATCATTAGGGTTCTGCTAGCGATCTCTGGTACTGTTAGGTTTCCGTCGATTTCTTCGTCGGAATAAAACCCTCGTCTTCGCCGGAGGATTTGGCTGGCGACTTTTGGAATGAAATAGAACACGGGGAGAATTATACAGCTATCCTTCGAATTCCGTCACTGGGTAGCTTAGGAGTTTCTGATTCCGTCGCTTTATTCTTCTTCTCCCCATGACAAAACGAGTATTCCAAGTCTGGAAAGGAAGCAATGTAAGTCTTTTTTTTTTATTCTTCATCGAATGATTGAGCCTGGATTTTTTTGTTTTTGTTTTTGTGTGTTTTCTCTTGTTGGAAGATGAATATTCTCTGAATTCTGTTCTCTGGTATGAACGTGACTGGGTTTTAGTTGATTTTTGCAGTGTTTCTTGAGCTGTTTACATGAAAAATGATTTGGAATTTGTTTTTTTCTCGAGTTCACAGTGTAGCATAGTCTTAGCTACGCAATTGGTTCACTTTGGTACGTGTAAACTAATGTTGTTGAGCTGAATCTTTGAAGTACTTATTATACATCATTGTGTCTCTTGATTCACTCTCAAAGCATGACCATGCATTTTTGTATAACCTTGTATCAAGTTGAATGTTCCTTGGAATTTATAAAAATTGCAAGTATCCTGAATGCTTGACTCTTCACATGTTTTAAAATCAGTATGCTGATACCAATAAATGCTCTTCCCTTTCTCTTTTGCAGAAATTCATCCTTGGTGGGAGATTGATATTTGGACCAGATGCTAGGTCACTGCCTCTCACCTTGCTATTGATCATAGTTCCAGTTGTTTTGTTCTGTGTATTTGTAGCAAGGCACCTTCGCCATGAGTTCTCTCCCTACAATGCGGGATATGCTATCTTGGTGGTAGCAATTCTTTTCACTATTTATGTAAGTCTTCTCCGATACCCCATCTGACAGTCCTATATATCTCATTCTTGTAAATATTTGATTTCTGATTTTATGTTTGCTTGCTTGCCTAATCGGGTTATCAACAACATTTGTCAGTTGTTATGTGGTGGTTAAATGGTATCATGTTAATGAAGCATCAAAGTTTGATCACTGGGATGGACCCTGATTGGTTTAAATTATTTTAACTGAAAAATGACTTGACTACTCCGCGATCATGTAGCATAAGATGTTCCTTGTTTGTTTCTTACCCGTCTTAGAAGCTTAAACCCTGTCTTCCTGTTCTGCCCCCTGTTATTTGGCATTTAGGCGTTGTTATTTTGGCTTTTCTGAATCACGAAGTTTGCTTTGATAGGTATTGATCCTCCTCTTCTTCACATCTGCACGAGATCCTGGTATTGTTCCTCGAAATTTGCATCCACCAGAGGAAGAACTACGCTATGAGACAACAGTATCAGCTGATGGAAGACAAACACCAAGTGTTCAAATTCCCAGGACGAAAGAAGTCATGGTTAATGGTGTTTCTGTTAGAGTGAAATACTGTGATACGTGCATGCTTTACAGGCCTCCCCGCTGCTCTCATTGTTCCATATGCAACAACTGTGTTGAGCGATTTGATCATCATTGCCCATGGGTGGGCCAATGCATTGGACTGGTAAGCTCAATCAAAAGCATATTGACTTAAATAGATAGTTTTTATTGTCAGAAAAAGTGCGAGGTTTCCTTCTCTCTTATCTGAAAGGCCAAGATCTGTTTTATCTGCCGATTGGCCAATCTGTTTTCTGCTATATTGTCTTGTTACATGTGTAGATTCTGACTTAGAAAGTTGTGTCCATTGGCAGAGAAACTATAGGTATTTCTTTATGTTTGTTTCTTCGTCAACACTTCTCTGCATCTATATTTTCTCGATGTCGGCTATATACATCAAGATTCTGATGAATGATCAACAAGGAACTGTGTGGAGGGCAATGAAAGAATCACCTTGGTCAGTTGTGCTGATGATATATTGCTTTATTGCCCTATGGTTTGTTGGAGGGCTCACAGCGTTTCACTTGTACCTCATAAGTACAAACCAGGTCAGTTGGTCCCTATTGTTTTAGAATTCTGTTTTCTACTTGCAATCACTGTTATTGTTTTCTGGTATTAGTATTGTATGCAAATTGTGAGTCAGCTGATAGCAACACCGTGCAAGTTTTTCAGACAACCTATGAGAAACTCCGGTACAGATCATCACACAGCAGGAGCATTGTATATAACCGTGGCTGTCCAAACAATTTCCTGGAAGTATTTTGCTCAAAGGTGAAGCCCTCGAGGAACAACTTTAGAGCCTTCATCGAAGAAGAACCTCCAAGAGTTGTTACCCTGCCTAGCACCACCAGGGAATCAGGGGAAGCAGAGGATGAAAATGGGCCTCGGCGACAGAAAGTGGAAGACGACCTAGACATTGGAGAAGATCTTATTAATCTCTCACAGCGTTGTAATGCAGAAGAGGCCAACAACAATCAGCCTCATCACACATTGGACATTGACCATGAGAGAGCAGGCTCGATAAGGACAGAAGCAAGGCATGGAAGCTGGGGAAGAAGAAGTGGGAGCTGGGATGTAGCAGCAGCAACAGATGTGAGGGAAAGCCGAAGCTACGCAACAGCAAAGGAAGCAAGGGGATGAGGGTGGGTGGAAGCTCTCTTTTAGGACAGAAGTCGGTAGATGTGATTTGGTTTCGGGGATTTGCGAATCAGTTAATGTAATCTTGAGTATATACAATACCAAGAGTAGTAGTTTTTCTAACTTCTTTTCGTTTTCTCAATGTGTATTGTGCTATTTTGTTAATATTATGTGGATATTCCATTCTGTATCTGCGTCCATAATATCTACCTTAAAATTGTCTCTGTTTAGCTCAGCCAAAATCCAAGTTATCATCTTCTCTTACATGCAACTAGCACTGGTATTAAAGGAAATATCATCAATCTAACAAATTTCTGTATTTTATTTTACTATTGTATTACCTATTTAAATCTATAACTCTAAATAAAAAGCAATCCTCAGTGCATTTACTTTTCTAATTTTGCTCAACAATTATGATCACGGCATATCCATTTTCTAAACAAAGAAAGACGATAACGGACGTTGTCTTTGACTAAATTTATACAAACCACGAATTTAACATATATTCTCCAAATTTAGCAAAAATAGGTCTTTGACTAAATTTATACAAACCACGAATTTAACATATATTCTCCAAATTTAGCAAAAATAGGCAAAACGTTTTAGTAAATTTAACATCATTTGATACCAATTATAATATAGCACATTCTAAAGTTATCCAGCCTTAGATGAAACCCTAAGTGTACATATATATATCCGCCTTAAACTAAAGCCAAACAACATAGAACTGAATAACAACCGAAAACTTGAGCAAGAAAACTTCCGACGCTAAGAGAAATGGCAACGTCCTCTGTTCTGTCCACCTTCGCCGCGACGGCAATTACGTTGCAACTACTCTTATCTCCTGCTTCAGCTTCCCCTCACATGAAATACATTGACGCCATCTGTGATCGTGCCCATGACCAAGCTTTCTGCGTTAAAACTTTGACTACCAATCCCCCTACAGCTGCTCCCATTGGCCTGGTACGACGATCTCAATTATTCGTTTGCATTTTCTTTTTCCTTGTTTTCAAATCAACCAAACAAAATATTTTATATATGAAAAAGTTGAAATGCTTTTTTTTAGGTTAAAATATTTCACTTAAACAGAAATTGACGTGTTTAGATAGAATCACACATCGGAAATAAAAGATACTTAGATTAACGTATAAGAAATATTTGTTAATCCACTTATTACCAAATTGTTTTTAGTTGGAAGCCAAAAAAAACTTAAAAGTTTGAAACAATACATACATTAGTATCTCTAAAAATATGTTGTTTGTTGTAAACAAATTGTTTTTTTCTTTCACATCTCAATCGTTAATGGATATGATCATTATATTAGTTTATGCTAATAAAATGCTTAAAAATGATATCTTAAACAGCTTCCATTGTCGGAGGCTGTGATCAACTTGGCCACATCACACGCGGAGAAGACAGCGATTTTCGTAGATGAGACTGCGAAGAAAGATCCAACGGTGAAGACTGCGTTTACAGAGTGCCACAAGGCCTACCTGGCCGTGGCAGCTGATCTCAAGAGTGCAAATGTGAAGCTCAAGGCATCCCCGGACACGGCTAACTACGACGTCAGGGCTTCAAGCGACAACATGAGGCGCGTGAATGAATTGGTTGGGAAAAACACTGACAAGGCTTCAACCACGCTCAAGGAAATGACTGTGCAGATGGAGAAACTCCTTGACCTTGCAGCTGGAGCCGCCGATGCCGTTGACGACGACGATGAGAACATTCGCCTTCGCGTCTAATGGATGTTAAACCGAGCGGGTTTAGTTTTTTTTTTTTTGTTCACAATACAAATGGAAATAAATAAATGAATATGTATACATTACATACAAACTGTGTTATGATAAATTAGTAATTCAGTTTTTGAAATATATAATGTGCTCAAGTTTTGCATCTCTTACTAATTTTATATCGATCTAATTTCTGGAGCAGAAAAATGACTCACTAATTTGCGAAAAAATTATAGTACTTAATTTAACCAGAGTTGTGTGTTAGGTGTCAATTGTTAACAAAAAAATACGAGAGCAACGAATTAAGAAGATTTACAAGTGTTCTAGTTGACTTAAAATAATGCACGGGTAATCGAGCCCTATATATTTGAAGAATTAGAAGAATGTCACTTTAAACATAGACTAAAACTAAAACTAAAACTTATGACTAGTTATGAATATTATTCTAACAAACTAAAACTTATGACTAGTTATAAATATTATTTAAACATAGACTAAAATAATTAATTTTTATCAATGTATCTATTTTTGAATGAGTGGACTTGTGTCTTTTAAAATCATATAGGAGTTATTTTTTTTTTTTGGCAAGTAAACACCTAGCTATCAATTAAAAGATATTCCAAAAATGATGTGAAAAGATATATTAGACCAAATCTCTTAAATTTATGTTCATTTCTATGTTAGTAATATTGAATATTTTCATTCTTATTTTAGATAAGAATATCTTCAAAAATGTTAATTTAGCATTTTACAAAATAATGAATGAACAAAAATAACGAATCCATAACACTTTAATATAGAGTTATAGAATTAAATTTCAAATGATTTATGTGATCAATTTTAAACTTTCCTTTCATTCATAAACACATTCATACAGTATATATGTGTGTATGGGGTAACCAAAAAGTGATATTAGCATAGCAACATTGTTTGTCTATTCGTGTTTATCAGTCTCAATTTACGACATGAATTGTAAAGACAAAATGGTTGTGATCATGGGTGCCACCGGTTCTGGCAAGTCATCACTCTCGGTTGATCTCGCTTTACATTTCAAAGCCGAGATCATCAACTCTGACAAAATGCAGTTCTATGATGGCTTGAAGATCACCACGAATCAATCGACCATTTCGGATCGACGTGGAGTGCCACATCACCTTCTCGGTGAACTAAACCCGGAGGCTGGAGAAGTCACAGCAGCAGAATTTCGCGTTATGGCGGCTAAAGCCATCTCCGAGATTACTCAACGTAAAACACTCCCAATCCTTGCCGGTGGATCCAACTCCTACATTCATGCACTCCTTGCAAAATCTTATGATCCTGAAAACTATCCGTTTTCTGATCACAAGGGCTCAATCTGCTCGGAGTTGAAATATGATTGTTGTTTCATTTGGATAGATGTGGACCAGCCTGTCTTATTCGAGTATCTTTCTTTGCGTTTGGATATGATGATGAAGTCAGGTATGTTCGAGGAGATCGCTGAGTTCCACCGCGCTAAGAAGGCCCCGAAAGAGCCATTGGGGTTATGGAAGGCTATAGGAGTGCAAGAGTTTGATGACTACCTCAAAAAGTACAAGTGGGACGATGACATGGATAAATGGGACACTATGAGAAAGGAGGCTTATGAGAAGGCGGTGAGAGCGATCAAAGAAAACACGTTTCAGCTCACAAAGGATCAAATCAAGAAGATCGACAAGTTGAGAAATGCCGGGTGGGACATAAAGAAGGTGTATGCTACAGCATCGTTTCGAGAGGCAATTAGGGCAGCCAAGGAAGGTGAAGGTGTAGCCGATATGCAGAGAAAGATATGGAACAAAGAAGTGTTGGAACCGTGTGTGAAGATTGTCAAGAGCCACTTGGACCAGCCGATCAACTATTATTATTATTATTTTTATTTAATAAAAAGACTCTTAAGTCTTAACTAGCAAGGACTCATATCCCCAGGACCGGCGCAGAGGTCAAGCAACTGAAGCCAGCGATTGGGGCCTCAAAATTTTAGGGCCTTTTAAACTAAAAATTTGTTAAGTTTTGGATATGCTGCAAAAGCTATAAATTTATTCTGTAGAGCTTTTTTAAAAAAAATGATATGGGGACAAATTAATTATCTTCAACACTAAATTTTTTATTTAGTAAAAAAAACTCTAAAACGCTGATTGAATATATAAAATAAAAACTGACACTATATGATACCTCTTATGCGTGTATGTGAGTCAATTTGCTTATTTTACAAGTAAAAAATCTTTGGTTTTGAAGTTAATTGTTAGTTTTGCTTTTGAATTTATTATTTTTTCCTTCCAAATTTGTTTTAAAAAAGAAAACTGCAAATCCGATAATGATTCGTTAATGGTTTTTGTAGTATATGAAAAATGCATACTTTTTAAAGCTTTGCGTAGGACACTCGCAGATGTCGGGCCGGCACTGCATATCCCCGCGAAAAATTGTCATAATCACTTTATATCAGCTTTATATATATTAATATAATATATTTTTAATGATATTGAATTGAATTTGTGGTTTTAATTAGGACTTGTACCCTTGCAAAATAGTAAAGATAATATCGTAGATCTAAATTTTACGTACGCATTTATAATGGATGTGTACGTAAAACATGCATGGCTTAAACATATGTGGATGTTTATGTACAATATGATTTAATGAAATGTGAATTTAGATATATATAAATGTGTACGTACAGTATGGTTTAGATTTATGTGGACATGTATGTATAAACTCTCATGTGTATCAAAAATAGAGTTTTATAGATATCAAAAGATAGAGTGAAAAATTACATTCGCGAATATTCGATGAAAATTTTAGTAGGAGACCGTGAAAACAATGAGGAAGAAAAAAGTGAAAAAATAATATAAGAAAAATATCAATTTTGGGTTGGAGAAATTTACCGTGAATTTAAGTCGATTTAATTGTGTCATTATATACAAGAATATATCTGTATATGTATTATATTTCAAAGATTATGATACAAACAATTATAATAAAAAGCCTTAATTTATGATGTTTCTGAGTTTATCATTGTAAATAGATTTTAAAACCATTAAAACTTCCTCATTTCAAAAGTATTTTAGAGATTCTTACTTCTATGAATAATTGCAGGAATTTAAAAAAATCTTTTTACAAAGGCTGTCTCAATATAAGATGGTAATGGGCTAACGATCAAGATCTAGATCTAGGCAATGACGCCAACAACTTGATGGACTGCAAATTTCTTCAGCATTGGTACAAAGGAAATTGGTGGGTACAGTTGAAAGTTTATATTATATACTTATATATATATACTAGATTGTTACCCGCGGTACACCGCGGGTTAATTATTTGATTTTTTTTATTTTTTATAGACCGATGAATTTGTTGTATATAATATTTTTTGTTGTACATTGCGAGTCACATGCGTTGTAACTAAAAATGAAAATTTTAAGATGTATTTGTTTTGTTTAGTGTTTAAAATTGTATAATTGTATTTTGATATTTGACAAAAAAAAAAAAAATTGTATTTTGATTTGTTAATCCCAGGATTTCACCCGTGATATATTATCCCGTATTAATATCAATCCAAATCCGACCCGTCCCACCATATAATCATGTCCCGTAAAATTAAACATCATTTTGTTATTTCTTTTAATAATACTTTTATTTAAAAGACATATAATTCGAGTCAATTTAAAAGTTTGCTTTCAAATAGTTTCTATAATATATATATATATATATATATATATATATATATATATATTTTCAAATTAGTGTGTGTTTTTAGACCAACCCGTAAAAATATTTTAAAAATGTATATTAAAATACTAAATAATTGTATTTCGATTTGTTAATTTTAAGATTTTACCGTGGTATATTGTCCCGTTTTAGATAATTGTAGAAATTAAGAAAATATCTGAATGACTCAATTCCGGGTCAGAGTAAAAAAAAAAATACGACCTGATTAAACGCGCAAATTTGTTTTTCAAAAATGTTAATATAGATTGTACACATACTTTTTTCTTCATCGATTGAGTAATATATGTCCGTTTTAAAAAATTTGAATCATAGCATATGCAGAAAAAATCGAATTTTTTATTAAGTATATATATTTTATAATAGTTCAAAATAATATAAATATAAGATCATATAAAAGTGAAATGAGAATCATATATTTATGTTTTAATTAGGTAGAGAGGTTTTAGGAAATTAGTTCAAATTTGTTATATTAGCATTAAATAATCATATTTGATTTCTATATCTATAAAAATTATAGAGAATATGCCATAAATAAAGAGTTTAGGTATAGTAATTAGTTGAGAAAATATATATTTTTTAGATTTTATTGATTAATTTTCGTTTTTTAGTTTTGTCAAAAATAAGGAAAGATCCGATTGAAGATTTCCGGGTCAAAATTAAACAAAATTTGACCCGATTAGGAACCCTAAAAAGTGTTGCAAAAATGTATAGTAGATAGGGAGGGGCACGACTCATTGTCGCATGATGTCAACCAAAATTTCACAACCTTTTGGCCAAAATTTGCAGTAGTATACCATCTTTATATTAAAAGAGACGTTATCATGAGCTGAAAACTATAAAATAGTTTCTATCAACAAACAAAAAAATGTTCGGTAAGATGCTAAAAGAAAATGTGGACGGATTTATAATTTATAATAAATGAGATGAAGAGATTTCTAGGTAATGTTGCTCATCTAATTATTTCCTTGAATCCCTGAAATTAATTAAAATCCAAAACGGGACAGGATTCTCGCTCTTGAAATCATTTGGACGTACGCAAGATGTCTCCTGAAGCCGAGCCTGCAAAATACAAGACATCCACTACCTTCTTGCTATCAAGAACCAACTTATATTTTCCCCATCTGCTAACAGTAGATGATAGATCCCTACAACTTTTGACGCTGTAGAAACACACAATTTAAGATTGGAACCGGTTTTGTTTTCCGTCATACTCAACGTAGAAATAAGTTATTTAAAAACCGAGGGGATTCAAGGTGACCAATGCTTAGAAATTCATCTCTCATGTCACCATTGATCTCAGATTTGCTACATATATGTATATGGAGTTATATTTCCAAAACTGTCATCTTTGTGCCTCGCTAATTTATAACAATGCATACCTGCAAATCCTCCTCCATGACATTCGGGTAAGCCTTAAGCGTCTTTGAGATCAACCACCGGAATCCCAATATCTACTGTCAATATCTACTGCTTTGATCAAATCATGAACACAAAAATAACTTAGACAAGGCCGATTCCTCAAAATTAGGGTTTGTAGACGGTGCGATTATCAACTTCTAGGTTTTGCAACCACAATAAATTTCCATTTCTCGAACCGTAGAAAAAAATTAACTAGGGTTTAATCAGCAAAATTAGAATTCGAGCTTGATTAATAGAAAATATCGACTGTCACATTTACGATTTTCAATATCTATGATTCCGCAACCTAAACACCAACAATAGATTTTCATTCATTCTCAAATCCTAGAGCGAAAGAATCTAGGGTTTGGCAATCGAATCGATACGAATTAACATTCCTTGGAGAAAAAATTCACAACAAAGGATTAGAAAAGTTTGATTTGATTTCTTGGTTTATCGACGAGAGGAGGAAAATGCATGGAAGTTTGTCGATATAAGGGATAAAGTGAGGTGTTGGGTCGTAACTCTTTCTGTTAAGCCCATCAATATTCGGCCCAATAACTCCAACACACACACGTGGCTTATGTGTCAGCAGAAAATGAAGGTAATTAAGGATTTGAGCAAATAATATTATGCAATTAAGGATTTTATTATTAATATTTTTGGGTGACGCTGGCGATTGAAACAAGTTGTGAAAATCAATTTATAGTAAAGCAAGAAGACTAAAAAAAAAGTAAAGAAAGAGGACTATGCAGAAATTATGTTCTTTCAGATTGATATATATATATATATAACTCAACAAACTTGTGGTAGTATTTTTTTCACCATGTTTTCTACATTAATTGATTGTTTGCTGTTTGAGTGATAAACGAAGAAGAAGTCGTGAATTTGTGTTATTCTTGTTAATCCAATCTTGTTAGTTGTTACATGAGATGACATGAGAAGTTCTTATATAACCGATACACAATTGATTTTACAATGACTAAGTCAATATTAACCAATACTATTTGATTACTCTAATAAATTGTTTTCTACGAGATTGAGGAGGAAAAGAGTAACTTGATAAGTTTACATAAAACCGTTACGGCAATTAAATGAAGGTTAATTGAATTGGGTTTGTGTCGTGCTGTGAAAGGGACAAAAGAGTGAGAACTGAGAAGTTTCGAAGCAAGCTCTCAAGACAAAAGCAAAGCATATATAAGAAGAAAAAGAGAGGAGAGAGTTTAATGTGATAATTAAGCGGTGAGTCTTGGTAAGATAGCGAGAGGAATGTGACAAATGTGAATTCGTCATTTTCTTCATCAAGATGGAAATCTATCATCTCCATCGGAAATCTTTGGTTTAATTATTTAATTTCAAGCCTTTCAATTTACTTGACTTGGTTCAAAAGGTTTTACTTCTGTTCACATGAGATGAAGTACCTTTAATAAATAAATAAAATTCCTGATTTTACGTTTCAAAGTGTTTTTGAACAAAATCAAAATAAGTTAAATGAGCTAAATGGGTCAAATGAGACCCTTGCAAAAACTGGATTTTATGTCTACGACGGACAAAAATTCTCATTAACTGCGTTTTGTTTTGTTAGCGTATTAATTAGTTACTAGATTTTAACCCGCGGTACACCGCGGGATAATTTAATTTTAAAGTTAGTATAAAAATATTTTGTAAATTGTATTTCTTTATAGAGAAATTGTTAAAAATGCCCCTTTTTCAATACCCCTTTTCAAAAATGCTCCCTTTGAGAGTCCATTTTTAAGTTTGCCCTCTTTTAATTTTTAATGACCATTTTACCCTTATTTGAAACAAAATTAGGTCCACAAAATACAAAATATTTTTTGGCGGGAAAAGTGATCCCCCAATTTTCCCGCCAAAACACTTGTAAAAACCTTTAAAATACCTTGTAAAATTTTTTCGTAAAAATTTTTCCCGCCAAAAAATTTTCTCGCCAAAAATTTTTTTTTGCGGGAAAAGTTATCCGCAATTTTTTTGGCGGGAAAATTTTTGGCGGGAAAAATTTACAAGGTATTTTAAAGGTTTTTACAGAGTATGTACAAGTGTTTTGTAAAGTTTTACAATGTATCTTAAAAGGTTTTACAAGGTACTTGAAAGTTTTAAAAATCATTTCTACCAACTTCTAAAACCTTATACAAAACTTGTAAAATCTTATAACTTATAAAACCTTATCAAATAGCTTGTAAAATCTTATAATATCTTATAAATACTCATCAATACGTTGTACAAACCTTTTAAAATACATTGTACACCCTTCTCAATACCTTGTAACAAACCTTTACAATACCTTGTCAATTTCTCCCGCAAAAAACCTTCCAGCCCACCATTTACAGCCATACTAACTTCTCGCTATTCCTATTCCATGCTTACACAACTTACTCGGGCGGGAAAACTTTAATGCGCGTGAAACAACCTTTAACGGGAAATATTACACCAAGGATATTTTTACAAGTTTTTACAAGTGTTTTTGGCAGGAAAAATTGTGGGATCACTTTTCCCGCTAAAAATATTTTGTATTTTGTGAACCTAATTTTGTTATATTTCCTTATATATTTGTAATATCTTTTATTAAAAGAAGGGTAATTTAGTCATTTTGTACATAAAAAGGGGTATTTTTAAAAATGGACAGCCAAAGGGGGCATTTTTGAAAAGGAGTATTGAAAAAGGGGCATTTTTGTGAGTCTCCCTTCCTTATAACATATTTATTTATATTATAGTTTACAATTGTTATTAAGTAACGGTATACCACGAGTCCACGAGATAATTATTAATAAACTGAAGATTTAACCCGTATTAAAGCGGTATATAAATATTGATTCAAATTCGTCCGCCATATAAATCATTTCCGAAATATAACCCGTTCCGTAATTTCTTAACCCGTCATGTGATTTTTATTAAAAAAAATAAGGATTAAATCCGTATTGAAGCGGCGGATTAATGATATTTTAATCTTTTTATTATTGTTGATTCAAAAACCCGTCCCGCCAAACCCGTCCCGCCAAACCCATCCCGCCAAAAAACTCATTTATTTTATTAATGTTCTTATTTATGATATGATTCTGAATCATTGTCTAAATATTTTAATCGATGTAGAATTGGATAATATATGTCCGTTTTTTAAATTTCGAATCACAGTATATGCAGAAAAAAAATTGATTTTTTTTTTACTTTATGTATTATATGACGATTCAAAACAGTTAAAAACAAATCAAACAAAGATGATAGGAGAATCATAATTATAAATCTTAATCAAATCTTCTAAAAATCTAAATTATTAAATATGGAATATCCGGTGTATGAGTTGGGTTAAATATAACCCGACCCAACAAATTTTTTGTAAAGGAATTTTTAAAATGGGTCGGATATCCGATATACCCGAAAGCTTTTTTACCCACCCGTCACAAAAAGTGATGCGATTATACTAGTATAGATAATTATATTGTGTGTGTGTGTGTGTGTTTTTTTTTTTCCGTCAGTTCGTCGCATTTTAACATACTATTTATAGATATATGAGCATAATTAACATAAATGTTTACACGTTTAAATAACATACTATTCGTAATTCGTTAAACAACACGTTTTTCTTTTTGTTAATTATGAGTGTGATTTCCCGCAATGGCACGTTATGCTTAGGCACCAAAGAGTAAAATCGTCCATGGCTTCTCATTGCCGCACATTCTCACCGGCCCAGACCTTATTTCTTATTATTTTTGAACTTCTTTCTTCAGTTCTACAGATAATCTTAAATTCAATTCATTTTATAGCTGATCTCTCCTTATTATTTTTTTTTTTGTCAACAATACGTAACATACATACAGGTTTAAATCCAGTTCGAACACAACAACCACACTATATCTATATCACAAATTACAAGGCTGCAAATCTTGATCAACGGCCCCTAATTATCATATAATTGACATAGGAATATGGCAATACTAATATAGAAAATTAGTAAAGATCTATGTTTTCTACTGTTTACCAAATTTGGTCTGTGTTTACAAAGACACAAACAGCTACGACAGCTGAGGGTGAAACTCATTGGTCTACAATTCTATAATCACCGTACTTTAAATTTGCATAGTTTGGTCCATGCATCATTCAATTGCATCATCAGTAAATTTATGAATTAATTAACCACTATAATCGAACCAAAGTTAATGAAGATTAACCACAATGTGTCCTAAACTGTCCCAAACCACTAGATACGATTATGAACTAAAAGAAGAAACTATGTCCAGGAGAAAAGAACACAACTGATAAGCAGAAGTAGTTACAGAAGAGTCATACCAAAAAAGAAATTTCTTGCCAATTATGATCCTCTAGTGTTTTAAATCATATCTTGAGTAAAATTAGGGTTTCTTACCAAGAGAATTCTTGTTGTTATGCATCCAGATTTTAAGCACTTGTCTCCTAACACCAGTCTCCGCACAGAACTGCTCAACCGCAACGTCATCATGCTTCTGAATTCTCCACCCCAATCTCTCCGCAAAGGCTAACATCTTCTCCTTCTGCTCCGCCGTGAATTTTGTTCTAAACCTCTTTGCGGTGGTCCCGCCGCTGCTGCTCGGATTTGATGTATTCTCCTCGTCCGCGGACGCCACGGGCAGCCTTATAGGCTGCCCTGTGGCCGTGGGAGATGTTAGATGAAGATATCCAGGCGGCTGATGCGGCTGCGGCGGGCGGTTGTAGTACGTGGGAACTCTGTGGGCTCTACCGCCGATGCTTTCGGTTTCCTTGCGGTGGAAGTTCCGGTGGCAGCCACAAGCTGCACACTTGAGAGCGTCGAGCGTACCATCTTCACCGGAAGGCATGAACTCACAGCAACCGTCCACGGCGTGGCCGCCGATGTTAACAGCATGATTCTTTAAGCACTCTCTATACCTCAACTTCCCTCCAACTCCTTTATTCCTTCCTCCTCCTCCACCGCCGCCGCTAGACGTGGCTCCCTCGCCGCTCAGAGAGTCGTAACCGCCGGGGGGATTAACACCTGACATCTCCATATCTTCTTCTTGATCCTCAAAATTCATTCTCCCTCTTTCTTAATTCTTAATTCTTCAACATCTCAAGAGACATCCGTACAATTAGATTGTTACTTAGAATACTATTATAGAGAGACCAATAATTCATGAGAGTTAAGAGTAGAAATTATGGAGAAAAAATATATTTTTAATTTAATCCGAATGAAAAGATAAAACAGTGAAGATAAGAAAGAGATAGAATATAGATGATGAGAGTGTGGTCAACAATTCCCAAGCCTGCCGCTTAATAAAAGGGAGCCCCAACTTTTTTACGTGTTTTTTTTTTTAGAATAATTTTCATATATATATAGATAGTTTCATCCAAAAGAAGACCCATAAGCCATAACCTTTTTAGAGTTTGATGAAAAGTACAGTTTATAGAATTAACAATAATAAACAAAGTATTAATTAAATGGTGGTTTGAGATTGATTAATGACATTAAAAAGGCGCTTAGGGTTTTGTTCAAGGTACGTCTGGCTTTAGTACTGTCAAAAAAGGATCAAAGTGGAACTGTGGTTATTAAAGCAAAAGTGACTTTGGGAACTTACTGATCACAGCAAAACGGCAAGAGCATGGGACGTAGAAATACGTGTCATGTATATAAATCCGGCTTTACTTTTGATCTTTTTGTTTGTGTACATTATCAAACAAATTTTTTAAATCGGCTCTTTGACAATATTGACAGTAAATATATAAATCCGTACTCACAAAATTTAAATCTGAACATGAAATCGACCATTCTCTAAACCAATAGTTGTTCATCACCCTCGGATCGGTAAATCCATGACTCATATAGTAATTCAGTCCGGCTATAACTAGAAAAGCCTTTTCCATTTCAAAATTTAATGCTCAAAATATTGAGCCTGACCATTATTTAGCCCTAAATTCATCCTCCATGCTGTACACTTTGTAATTCTTGATGATTTTACTTATTTTGATATAACAGAGAGCCAAATATTGTTTCTTAATTAATAGTAGTATATATATAAGAGTTATTTGAAATTTAAAACTTGCTCAATCAATAAAGTTTGTACATCTAATTGAAGTATACGGCATGACATCTAACCGTTCTAACAATTCGTGTGATTTGAAATATAATGTAACTATATTTTTGGATTTTGTATAATTTACAATTTACTGCTCTATATGTTGCAGTGTTACATGTAGGAATAATCTTGCGAGCAAAAAATCTGCGGACCAACCACCGGTCTAGTCCTGTTTTTTGGTTTTAAAGAAATCATGATGCAAGTTGCAACAAATTTATTCAAGATCTGAAAAATCATTTATCCTTAAAATGGAATTCAAACACGTTTTATGTGAGATATATTTACAGCTTATCATTAATTCCAACTCTTAATCATGTTATCTCTCTTTTAGTGTCTCTATCACTAGTTAGTACAAAATTAAAAAACAATTTATATAAGTTGTTGGGCTTCTTGTTTATGGTGAAGGTTTGAAACACATATCTTGGTTTATGAGCTATGCATCAAACAAAACAACGAACATGGTGATTTGACTAAGGATGAATAGGTTTGGAAACAAATACAAAATGCTATCAAGATTCAAGAATGGCTATAATTGGAACTCAAACTCAGATTCGGATCAAGTTGGCATCAAAATAATAGTAATTACTTTTCTCAAGAAAAAGACTAATTTGTGAATAGGGAAAAAGACAAGTATAGTTATGTAGACGATCAAGTTGATAAAGAAGGGAGCTAGTAGATTTGTGGAAAAAGACAAAAGACGAACGGCCGTTTGACGATGGAATAGTTCCACAAACAAATATGATGTGGCGTAGTCAGGAGAAAGTTGATGATGAATTTTGCAGATACATCACGTGAATGGTTTAATTTCTGTGGTTGTGTCTCACCTCCACCATTGTCCTCATCCATATGGATATTGTGGATACATTTGGTTTCTACAAGTTTTTTTTTTCACATTACAACCATGAAAGTAGAACTTTTAGAATATGAATGAGTGACAAGAGATTATATTTTGAGAATTTTCACAATTTGGTATTATCGAGAGTTAGTTGGTGTTTTGGAATTTTTTTTGGTTTGTCCAACTTTTTAAAACATTTTTGTTATGAAATATAAATGATTTTATATCCTTTTGAATTATACAGAGAAAAATGTCAGACGCGGTTAGAAAACGGTGCAGTACTGAATAAAGCTGACACAAATGTAAAATGGAAGGTAGCGATACAATGATCTCTCCGTAGCATATATTGTTGATATGACTCTGAAGGATGGTTGGAGTTGAACATTGGAAAAAGCTATGAAATGTTGGAACTGATTCTAGTGATTCTTCAAGAGATAACAATTAAAATTTTCCAGACCAACATGCCGACGACACTTGAACAAACGCTCGGTAGTGAATGAATGTTCGTTCATTTATCCGAGATGGTTAGATGAATTGGTCTTTTGATTGATCTTCTTATTCAAATTTCCGATAATATATATGGAGAAAACACTTGTTGCAATATTAGTTATGACAATTGATCATAATTAATCACATGCACATGCACTTACAAAGTTGAATTAGAGGAAGATGAAATCCTGTGAAGGAAAATATTAAAGTTAGTATCTCTATCCAACATGCTTATCCTCACATAACTTAGCTCATCTCCAAAGTGCTTTCCACTTTTAGTTAGAATCTTCTTCTCCTCTCTAAGAAACTTCTCACAATCCACAATCTCTTCTCCACACTTAAACCATGCAAAAGCTGCACAAAATACACCAAACCATATGAAGAAAAAATTAAAGAAGAAGTGGTTTTATGATCATTTATACTTTGTTTTTCTATATACATACCTGGTTGTGGCTCAAAGACCCTGCCAAAGAAATTGCAGCGTTGAGAGGCAAAATCAGGAACGCTGAAACGTTTAGTATCCTTCGCCGCTTGTTTCAATAGCTTCCACCTCTCATACATAGCATCATAACTGTGGTCAAAGAAGGATTTGGCCGTTTCATTCCCACAACTGTCTGACACAACCTTTAGAACCTTGGCTACTCTAAGTTGCGAGTCCTTTGAAACCCCAATCGTGTTGAGTTCAATGTATTTTATCATTTTCCTAGCCGTCTCTCTGTCTTTCACCAAAGCCCATCTGCAAAATGAACAAGAGTGTAACCGTTAAGAGACTTGTTCTCTGTTTTGCTCCCACAAAAGCAAGATGTAACAAGAATGTACTTACCCAATGCGCATCCCGGCATGGCCGGTGCTCTTTGAAGCAGTGAAGAGCATGACATCGTGATCAGCTGCTGATGTTATCGGTGTATACTGTGGCCAGTAGTAAGCTAAATCATGGATCAATATACCTTTACTACTGTTCACTACTGATTCTCTCAAGAACCCATCAGGGTTGTTTGGAGATGTAACAAGTTCAATGTATGGACCATCTTCTTTGTATGTCTTTGCATCTCCGCCCCATCGATATAACCCCGATTTGAGGCAGTCTGTAATCAAGGGGTATGACTACAACCAAACCGGTTATACATGTTAGATTGACACATATATGTGCTAAAATAACTCAAGAAACCTAGTATCCAGCAAAATTGCGTGTCTAACAAGACATACAAATAGTTTGAGATAGCTATAACTATGACTCACACTATAATAAGGTGCAGTCGAGACGACATTAATAGGACCAGAGTCATCATGTGGGGAGAGAGCATAGAGGGCAGCCTGATACAACTGTGTTGAGCCAGTGCCAACAACGATGAAGCGGTCTTGGGTTGCAGCATTTCCAACAACCTTATGCACCCTCACAATCTCTTTGCCAAGCTCTGGCTCAAGAAACCAGCAAAGGTTGTTTTCATCTGAAAAATAGCTAAGAGATTGCCATCCAGGTATCACCATTGTTGTAACCTCTCCATTTTCCTGCCAATATCTCTCATACACCGTTGGATCGCCACTGCGTATAACCACATCAAAGTTAGCATACATTATGTATTATCTACAGTGTGACAAGAATTAATCTTTGAGTCAACGAGAGCTGAGCATAGAGGTAAAAAATTGTGGGTCTTTTTCTTTAATGGAGAACATATATAAAACATCACCTTCTTATTTCTGAAACATTGAAAAACATGGGCAAGTACTAGATCACCAAACTAGTCCTTTAGATTCCCTCAAAGGACATGAAAATATTAATGTATTGAGAATCATGTCCACCTAAATGTGGGCTCTCTTTACTTTTCTCTTTTTCCTATTTATAAGTTTTTCTTTGACAATGGAATTCGAAAGAATCAAAAGGGTTTGATATTCAAATGTACCAAATGTCTCCTCAACCTAAAATTTAATCCATTGGCTATCAGCCTATCACTAACTAGATTAATTGCGAGCATCCAAAAAGGAACATCACTAACTAACCTCCTTTCCTCTCACAACATTCCACATACCAAATCCTTATTTAAAAAAAAAAAAAAAAAAAGTCAATCTCTTCTTTACTTTCATTAACAAGTAGAATGGCCCATTTCCAATTTAATTTTTAATCCTTTTAACAGTTGACATTTATGATCAATATATACAAATTCCCTTAAAAGAAAACAAATGGACCACCATGATCAATACGCAAAGTTTTTTTTTTTTTTTTGTGTTTGACGAGTCATAACAGAGTAAATAACAGAACCAAATATTCAAACTAGCGGCGTACGTTAAGGAACACAAGCATACGCAGAACTATAGTAAATTGTTAGAAAATATAGGCAAGTCAATGGAAGACCATCAGGAAATCAAATGGTGATTATGGCATTAAAGCTTGGAGCTTCACTTGCTTGCTTAAAGGATAATCTTAGATTCCTTGTTATATAATCAGTGACTTTCAAAGCAATCAAGTATGGGATAAGGGAGAAATTTGTCTACAGATTCTATAGGATACGCCATTAATACACATTTATTATTCTGAAAACACCACGAAAGTATAAACAAGCAATCAGGGGAAAAAAAAATCCACCATAGTGACAAGAACATAACTTAATTTCTTCAGCAAAAATTGTAATCTAGAACATGGAAGAGTAAGTAGAAACTTACAATTTGAGGTTGATAATTCTATCATCGTCTTCTTCGATCTTGCTATAGTTGCAAGATGCTGAAGACAACGACGAGGAACCTGAAGCCGTGGTCGATACCACGGGCCATACGCTAACATACGCCTTTCTGTCCCATGAATCTCCTCGTTCTCTGTCACCCTTCAAAATCTTTAGAATCAAGCTGAAGTTGATGGCCAATGAGAGGACCAACATATTCCTCCAAGACAGAACCCTCGGAATCTGTCCCATTTTCTCTCCAAGCTAAAACGCAAAACCAAGAAACAAGAATGCAAATGCTTAGAGAAGAAGAGCAGAGTGGGATAGCTGGAAAAAGACCTCTTTTAAAAGGAAACAAGTGGTGTCCAACGAGACTGAACCTTTTTTGGCTGCTAAATTCGAAGTTATGATTTTTGAAAGAGATTAAAATAAGGGCCCTTGAAGAATCTCAAGAGATAAAGGTATGTAACATGTGTTTAAATTGAATTATGAACCTAAGTCATGTACTTAAAAATTTTAAAATCTTTATCCTCGCAGACAAATTCTAAACTGAGACTAGCTATCAAAATATTAAAGCCAGAGACAAAGTACCTGTAGAATTGCAGACAGAGGATCAAAAGGTCACAGAACAAATTGGCCACAGTGAAAGGATCGCTAGAAGGCTTTTTATATGTAAGCTGAAAAAGAAGAATGTGTAATTAGGTCGAAGCTCTCTGTTTGTTTCTCTCCACGATAAAAGATATTTCCCGTTGGGAAAAAGTTAATGTTTTTGGCTTTGGCGTGAAGAGTTTCAGCTTTTTGGTTTGTCAATGGCAGACCTTGGAAACGACAGTACATGAACCGAGCGAGACACTGAATTTATTCAGGATCTCTGTTTACTAGTACAAGAGACTGGTGAATGCTTTATGCTTTACTAGAACAGGATCTCTGTTTTCTAGATATACGTCACTTCTCTGTTTTCACATCTAATTAGATTAGCTAAGGCTTATTGAATATGTAAATATTTTGCCCTAGACATGTTTAGTGTGATTTACACATTTTGACAAAACGATTTAGGGTAAATTACTAAATTGTTATTTTTTTTTTTTTGAACAAAGGGTGAATAATAACATATTTTTGGGGTGTTGATTGTGAAAGTAAAGAGAAAATAATGATTAATCAATGGAAGGGGAAAATAGATAAATGATCCATGGGCCAAAATCTACATATTAGCACAGCCCAGATTGTCTAAGGGTTAATCAAAGGATCACTGGTCAGTCTTCAATTTTGTTTTAGGAAAATTATTCAAGGGCTACAAATGTAGGGGTGTCAAAATGGGTTAATACCCATGGGTTACCCGAATCCGCCCATGATTTTAGTGGGTTTGGGTAGAATTTTTTTACCCATATATATAAATGGGTTTTAGTGGGTTACCCTATTAGAGTTATGGGTTTAATGGGTAAAATCCATTAGGGTCATGGGTTACCCATGGGTTTCATAACCAAAACTAAAAAGTAAAATTTATATATATCTATATTAATATATTATGTAAAATATATATAAATATATGTAAAATATCTTCTTTTCTTTACAACTATATATGTAAAATATCTAAAATAACTATTAAAGTTTACATTTTACCTAAAAATAAAAGTAAAAAGTAAAATATATGTATAATATTCAAATGTTCTTTAAATTAAGACTATTTTTTCTTTTTTTATTTGGTTTTATGGTTCTTTGGATTTGTGGTTTTAAGATTTTAGGATGCTTTTTTATTTTAATATCTAGATTTTTTTAATTTATTATTTAAAAACTTTTGTTGGTTTACAATTTTATGTTATTTTTTTGGATTTTTATTATTTATATATTTTATTATACATATATATGATACCCATATAACCCATTAAGCCAATGGGTTTTTACAATAATGGGTTTGAGTATGTAAATTCAACCCATATAAATATATGGGTCGGGTCAAACCCGTCCATTAAACACTCGAACCCATATGGGTTTGGGTCGGGTCGGGTCGGGTTACCCATTTTGACACCCCTATACAAATGGTTGTTTTAAATTGAATGAGTTGAATATATTAAGTTGGAAAATATTGGGTTGAAAATAATTCAATCCATTCATCTACAAAATTGTAATTGAATGAGTTGAACATTTTTGCTGTAGAATTTGTTCAATTTTTGAAGTTTTTAAGTTGAATGGGCTGAATCTTTTTTTTTTTAAACTTTTTTTTATCTCAGATGGTAAAAAATTAGTTGAATGTTCATTCAAATCTTTCAACTTGGTATTTTGTGTCAACCAGTTGCAGCCAGATTTTTCTTTACATACACTTTTCAATTGTTTATTGAGTAGTATTACCATCTTGTTAAAGGTAAAGTTTGTATATAAGGGGTGAGATCATTATTTGCAAGCATTCAAGCAATTCAAGTGTCTCATTCTCTAACTTTCTTAGGTTCGATGGCTCTCTCTCTCTATAAATATCAAGTTCGATTTGGAGTAAAGCTGACTTAGCAACTACAAAAGTAAGAAAAGATTAAACTATATACCTCATTTTGAAAGCATCTAAAAGCATTTTTACGATAGAGGATTCAAGTTTAATTATTATACGCGGTTAACGTATGGAAAAACTTTAGCTAGCGTTGAGTTCAAATCAGCTCAAGATCATTCTCCAGCAGCACAATCGATTACGAAATATCGGATTCATGTATGATCTTTCTTTAGAACGAGTGTATTCCACCGAAAAACATGAGAAGTTTGGAAGATAAAACATAAGCGTTACCCAAAAACCTTATCCATTGGATCATGCCTGCTCCTTCCCTAAACAAGTCCTTAAAAATGAACCTACCACATAATTCAATTTCTCCCCATTTTTAACGTACTTGTTTTGTTAAAAAGGATTATTATTTAAAAATTACGATACAATATAAATAAATTAAAACATCTTTAAAATTAGTAAAATGTAGAATATAGGAAAATATTTTGTAATGGGTAGGTAAATATATAAATGATGTTAATGAATAGTACTAGTCTTTTTTTGAGATAGGTGATCCCTTTATTCGCTCTATTTTAATTTTATTCTAATCAGCATTCATTTTACAATTTACAAGAAGAAGAAAATAAATAAATTAAACAAAAAAAGAAAATAGAGAGAGAGGAAAAAAGCTGAGTAAAACCGTGCAGCCCTGAACTTCGACGCTTTCTTTCTCGCCTTTCAACCAATCCGTTGAACGTCGTCGTAAGCTTCATCTTCATCTTCATCATCATCACTTTCTTCTTTCTCTCACAGATCCTTCCTTTTCTCCTTCATCTTCCTTTTCCATCATCGCCCAGGAACACATCCGATCTGCATCCTCTTCTTCGATTCTCTCTCACAATTAATATCTAGGGTTTCCGAGGACCCCCTCTATTCAAAAAAGCAGATTTTCTCTATAATCCCCCTTTGGTCAGTTTCTTCTCTGCTCTTTTTTTTTTTTCCTTTGTATTCCAGAGGAATCGAGTGATGCGTTTATAGAATTACCGACTCAGAAGCCTCGTGAAGTAATTTGGGTCCTTTTGTAGAGCTTGATTGACATTGCTGGATACATTTGTATGTTTTAAAGCTCTCCTTTTTCTAAAGCTTGTTGATTGACGGAATGCTGGTGAAGTTTTTCAACATTCTGAGAATTCGTAAATTGCTTTTTTTTTTTTTAGTAATGCGGTCATTTAGCCTGGAACGATTTTTGATTCGCAGTTTGACTATCTTTGGTACTTTTAGGTTTCTGTAGCAATTTGATTTTCGAACATTGCCTTTCTGTTATGATGGTGAATTTTCGAAAGTATTGAGGTTTTGAATTGATCGCTCCGGATTCTTCAAGTAGATTTTCAATTCATGTTGGAGAACTTGTATAGGCAGTCTGATTCTGCAACGCATTTCACGGTAGCAGTGTTATAGCAATAGTTCTTCAGTGTTGGTCTTGTTTGATTCTTAGGGATTTGAGCTTCAAATTTCATTTGTGAATCTGTTTCTCTATGTGCCTTACAGCTTTCAAGGGGTGTAATTGGATCTTGTAGCTGCTTTATAATGACCTCTAGCACGGCAGGAGATCGAAGGTTTCTCTTCTTTCATGTTTATCTTTATCATGAACTTTTCTATGTTTTTATACTGGGTTATCGGTTATATATTCGCCTCTTTTCACGATGCTTGCATGAGTTTTCTTTTGATGCGGCCTTTTCTTAATATGAATATTACTGGTTTAAAGTGTGCTGTATATTCCAACTGCTGTTAAAATATATGTGCCTGGGGTATAGAAGGAAACTCAGTGTTTGGCTTTTCTTTCTTTGAAAGAGCTTGCTTGCATGATAGACATTCACCATGTATGGAGGGAGAGTTTAAGACTTTTTATTTCATATTACTTGCACTAATTTTATTCAACATTATTATTGATTTGCAACATCAACATTTAGATTAAGAGAAGAGAAAAGTTTTATAATGTGTATGGCTAATCGTTTTTTTTATAATAATTTTATTATTGTATAATCATTTATACTTTTCTCATTTACACTTAAAGAGCTTTGTATCCTCTGGTGGTGATGAGAAATTACATTTGCTGGATATTAGCAGATGGGGTACTACAAGAAGAAGTGGCATGACTATATTGGGAAAGGTTGCTGTTCCAAAACCTATTAACTTACCAAGCCAAAGGTATTTGATGAGTGCATGATCACATTTAGACTTAATATATATATATGTAATCTCGTTCCCTGAACACTCCTCTTCTGAATTTAAGGTTAGAAAACCAAGGCCTTGACCCAAATGTAGAAATTGTTCCAAAGTAAGTTTGTACCTGTTTGAGATGCTACTTCCCTCATTCTTTTTCGTCCTCAAAATTTAGATGGTTTACTTTTCTTCTGGACATCTATTTTAGGGGGACCCTTAGTTGGGGCAGTAAATCATCACTGAATGCATGGGGGACATCCTTGTCACCACAAACTGAAAGTGGCCCTGGTTCACCAAGCCACCTCAGTAATCGACCTTCTTCTGGTGGAAGTGTCACTCGACCTTCAACTGCTGATAGTAACAAAGCACATGACTCTTCTTCCTCTGTTGCATGGGATTCAAACTCTCGGCCTTCATCAGCATCTGGGGTGTTTCCATCTAATCAGGCATCAGTTGCACTACAGCGTCCACATAGTGCAGACACAAGACCAGGAAGTTCCCAGTTATCCCGATTTGCTGAACCCGTGTCAGAGACTTCTGCAACATGGGGTCAACATGTGGCGGCAGAGAAGTTGGTATGGTTCTTCCCTTTAAATTAGTCTCTATTATTTATCATGACTCTGCTAAGCATCTTCTTTTTATCCTTGCATCTGTTAAGCTCCATGTCACTTTTCTCTTACTTCACTTGTGATTAGTTACAACAAACACACAGCAAGTTCTTATGTTTTTGGGACTGTGAATGGTAATTACTCTTTGGGATTAATGATTGGTATTCAATCTGGATAGAACTTCAATATCTGGATACATAACTCGTGTTTGCTATGGGAACAAGATTAGGATGCTGAATTTGTCAAATTATAGGGCACTTATTGTTTCTCTTAGAGAAATGCTTTGAAGTGCGTAAGATAATCTGGCAACTGAGTGGCACATGTTCTCCAATAAGTCTGGAATTCTGGTAGGGCAAATAGAATTTGATGGAAGGGTTTGCATTATTATTTGGCAAACTTCAATCTTCAATTTTTTTTGTAGAATAGTTGTGTACAATTTATACCCACCTTTGCATTATCTACCATGAAATTTATCTTCATTCTTCAAGACTTCTCATCGTTTTCTACAGGGAGTTGCTCCATCAAAGAATGATGGGTTTTCTTTGACTTCTGGAGATTTTCCTTCCCTTGGGGCTGAAAAGGAAACTTCTGAAAAGAGTACAAGGCCACATGGTACAATCTATTAACAGTAAAATATATTGTGTCATCCTCATCCATGCATTACAGTACTTTGATTTAAGAATAGTTCTCTGTGCTCTTTTCAAAAAAAAAACAATCAGCATGTAAACTAGGAAAATGGAAATTGGTCCAATCTGTACTCAATTCTATTTTATACTTGTCTTCCTTGCCTTCAAGGGAGTGACGTTAGCACAGACAGGTTCATTTTGAAAGTTGGTACTTCTAAATGTAATTCTGTTGAGAAGTTTATCTACACGGATATTCAGCAAAGTTAAAACTTTCGGGAATGACTTTTTTGGCTTGCTTTTGGTTGACCACTTTTTCGATCTTTGATGACCTTCTAATATGTGCTATTGAGAGTTTAGGATTACCTAGATAGAATGTGATGTGCTTATATGAAGTAAATACGTTAGACATGGCTCTTAGAAACTGCAAATTTGCAGATGCTGGACCTCACGCTCGTCCTCCATCTTCGTCTGGAAGATCTGTGGAAGGGCAAGGTGTAGATTGCACAGAAGGTTCTTACTTTCAAACCTCTTTTTCTATGTTTTGGGGATATAGAACAGATGTTGGTATCTCATTTCGAGAGTTACTTATGTTTATAATCATCTCTTATGAGAGGGCCATGTTACCCTCTCAGGTGTTCATGTGAATTCTTCTTACTGCTTTATTCCCCGTACATCTTTTTAGTGGATGTTCTCTTGGGCACTATATGTGACCATATCTTGTCTTTTATTTGCAGAAGCTAATGAACGGATTGGAGAGGCCAATTCCTGGAGAAGAGATAATCAACCATACAGTGAAGATGCACCTAGACATTGTAGAGAAGAAGGGCAATTGGACTCACGTGGTTCACAGTCTTATCATAATGCTAATTTTCCTCCTCAGTATGATGCTTGGCGTGGTCCTCCAGTAAATAATCATCAAGGTGGTGGCTGGTACGGAGGGAACCACCCGTATGGTGCCCCAATGGGTCCTGGGGGTTTTCACATGGATCCTTTTCCATTTTATCCTACGCAAGTTCCACCTTCTCCTGGACATGGGGCTGGTCCTAGGGGTAATCACGCCAATAATGAAAGAATGTTCAGACCTCCAATGCTTGACTCTTATGTCCACCCAAGGATGCAGACTAGGCCTGGGTTTTATGTTGGTCCAGCACCACACGATGGCTACTATGGTCCTCCCATGGGGTATGGCAGTCCCAGCAACAGAGACCTGCCTTTTGCAGGTAGGCCTACTGGTCCGCATGCTTATAACAATCATTCTGGTCAAGGTGTATATGATACGCCTGGAAGTTCAGTGTCATTGGAACGGAACGAGTCATCACATTCTCAAGAAACACAAAGGCCATACAAGGTTATCCTAAAGCACCAAGATGGGAGGTTTGGGGAAGATAGAGCAAAGCGGGAAGAATTTCTAGGAAATAGGCTCCCGAATGCAGAGAAGATAGCTCAACAGATGCAAACTTCAAGAAACGAGAGGAGAGAAATCCGAAATGAGGCAAGTGGTGAAGTACAACCAATCAAAGCAGAACTTGCTGCCCATGGAGATCCTAGTTTGATTCAGAAAATCGAGGGCTTAAATGCAAAAACTAGAACTAATGATGGTTGGCAAAATACTTCATCTGTCGTCAATAGAGATGAGCAGGAAAGCAAACCACGTACAGTCAATTCTGGGAACTCTGTAAATAAAGTTTCAGCAAAAAATCCTCGAACTGGTCACGCAAGTGATAGTAAGAACTTACACTATAATCAAGGTGATTCTGCCACAAACAAAAATGCTGAACTGGCAGCTATGGGTGGAACTGCCATATTCAGGTCAGTTATCATTTTTCAATAGTGTTTCGGCCAGTTATGCCATCCTTTATGTCGGGAAAGTTTTGATGTTAGTACCTACAGGAGATCTACTCAACAGACTCAAGGCAGAGCAGATCCTCAGACCAAACGAATAGTGAACAGTGAAGGCAATGATGCTTGGCAGAAGACAAACACAGAAAGCTTTCACGAGGTTAATGTGGATGACTCTTTGGATACCGATTCCATCAGGAGGCCTGGGTCTGGAATATCAGCAGACCCAAACGACAACCAGGTATAACCTAGTTCATATGATTCTCGATGTTATTTATACTTATATGTATCTCTTGTTTGTAGTCATCCTTTTTTGGTTTGACTGAGTGTTTGCCATGTTCCCTGAAAGCGTTCTACGATGAGAGAGTTAGCCAGGCAGCGTGCTCAACAGAGGCAAAAAGAGGAGGAAGAAAGAGCAAGAGATCAGCGAGCTAAGGCTCTCGCAAAACTAGAAGAGTTGAATAGACGTTCCCAAGTATCTGAGGAGGGTTCAGTTAAGAATAATGCTTCTCCCCCTGACATGCCAGAAGATCCTGGGTCTCATTCATCCGCTCTTGAGATGAAGAACACTGTTGCAGTTGCAAATTCCGTAGAACCTACTGGAGGATCAGGAAAAAACACAATGCAAAATACGAAGACTTCAACAGAATATGCAAATAACGTAGGCCCTACCCAACAGGATAATCTTCCACGTGATCATGATGGCGGTGGCTCAAAACAAAAGCGCTTGGGTTATAAGCAGAAGCAGCAAAATATAATATTTGAGAAAAAAACGACAGGGAGCTCTGTTGCTACTACAGAGGTGTTTGATGTTGTTCCATCTCCTGTGGTTGTTAATGAAGGTGTCTCAAGCCATAACTCAGACATGCAAGCAACGTCAAGCGTTTCAGCTGAGTCAACTTTCCCGAAAAGAAAAAATAACAGGAATGGCAAGAAAAAGCACAAGGCTGAGGAGACAGCAACGATGAATACGACAAGAGTTGCCGTTGGAAAAGAAACAAAATCGGGAGATGAGTCAATTGAGACTGGTAGGGCAAGGGCAGCTGCAATGGAGTCGGGGTCTGTTTCAGTTCCAAGCCTGGATATCAAAGTGTCTGGTGATTCGTCTGAACAAATCAGTTCCTTCACTAATGAAGAGTCTCAAAACAGGGGAAAAAACAACTGGAAATCTCAACATTTGCGTAGGACTCAAAGAAACTCACTGGTAAATAAGCCTGGCGAGAAATTTTCTGGCAACAATGCTGTTATATGGGCTCCAGTACATCCACAGCAAAAAGCTGATGTTTCCACAGGTGGAGGGAGTCAGACTACTGTCCCTGAGTTTGGCACCTCTTCAAAGAGTCACCATCATGGACAGACTAGTTCTAAAAGCAAAAGAGTGGAGATTGAAAGATATGTACCGAAGCCCATAGTAAAAGAAATGGCTGAGCAAATCGTCAGTAAAAATCTAGGAAACTCTGCTCCAGATATGTCGGAGAATGTAAACAAGAAAGAAAATCGTGGAGGTGAGGGTACAGGAGTTCTCGAACCTTCTGGTTCAACTGCAGGAAACTCTGGGTCTCCTTCAAAGTCAAGACACGGGAATGGTCGGCAGGGAAAGCATGGTAGAGAACATGGATCATGGCACCAGAGAGGTTCTGGAGCACATACTAAACCTTTGGAGGATGGACAATATGTAACCTCAAATCAGCCCATTCGAGGAACAGTTAACTATCACTCTAGTAACCAAACCGAACAAATTACTGCCAAGGATCAAACCACATGTAATAAGGATGGATGGAACGATGGCTGGTATATGACTCCTGAAACGCATTACTCTGCTGCTGAAGAAATGGAATCCAGTGCTGTTGGAAAAGATCAAGGAATGAGCATGCACGGCAAGCAGCATGCTTCCAGAAGCAACAAGGATGGAGGAAGCAACTATGGTGACCCTAAAAAAGCCAATAAGAGGGATTTCAATAAAGCTCATATGCAGCACTCTGGCCATGGGTTTAACCAACCAGATTTGCCTGCTGCTTCAAAAGAAAGTCGTGTCCCTGGAGATCATGTGTGGCATACAGCTAATAGGACAGGTAAGTATGGTGGTCGTGAAAGTACGAGGGACAAACCTTATGGATCTCAGAAAAAAGATGTTGCTGGATACGAGCATCAAGGGTTTACTACAGAACAGAAAACGACATCTGCTGATACGCAAGCCCAGTCGCAAAACCGATCTTCCAATAATGAGGTCCAGGTTGAGCAAAATCCGAATAGTATGTTCCAAAAGAACACAGGGCAAGGTCGACGGTTTGGAAGAGGGCAGGAGTCACAAGGAGGTTGGGGTTTACCAGCGCAAGAAAATCTGCACCATCACCATCAGAGGCCACCTTCAAACAGAGATAGACAGAAGCAAAATATGCATTATGAATACAAACCTGTTGGGTCACATAATTATGATGGAGAACGTAGTGGAGAACAATCGAAAGAGAGTTCTCAGACAGAAGGTCCAAGATACAGAGAGAAGGGACAGGGGCAGCAAAGGCAGGGTGGATACCAACAGCAAAGGGGTAATAGTGGGAGAAACACTGGTCATGGATTCACAGGTGAGAGAAACTAAGATTGGCCTCTTATCGTTATTAGGTAGTTAAGAGCTGCGATGCTGAGGATAATTGCATTTTGAGATATGGCGATTGAGGAAGCTAATTCGTAGGCACATAGCTTTGGGGGATTGCTGAGAGCAGGCCTATCCGAGGAGGTATTGGCAGATTAAAAAAAAAAGTCTTTGCTCGTGAGAGTTTATTATTATATGTTTCAGTCACTTGTTTGAATATGCGCTTATCTCTACTGTAGCCTTTTGTATACATTTGCTGGCAATTGGACTGACCTTGTTTCGTTAAGCCGTTGCTTTTTATTGCTTCGTTCGTTTTTCCTATGAATTCTTCTCAGATTGGGGAACCATCTTACATGACTAGCTTACTTTAATTGCATATGTTTTTGTTGAGAATGAACTTGTATCACAAATCTGCCATCCCTACTTGTTTGGTATCGCCGATCTTTTCTGCTTGATAATTCCAAGTTCTACTACTCTCTGACATAAAAAAAAAAACACATTTGCTTACAAATTTATTCATTTCCCTAACACTCAAATTATATTAAAACTAAAAATGGTAAAGTTTTTAAATGTTACTCCCTCCGTTTCGTTTACTTGTCGTTTTAGAGTTAAAATTTTGTTTTATTATAGTTGTCGTTTTAGGTTTTCGATGTAAATGTTAGGTGAAAATTCCAGTTTTATCCTTATTGTTTTAATGTTTCGGCCAATGATTTTTTTTTATAAAATATATTAATAAAGGGTAAAACAGAAAATTTAATGTTTTTTTTAATTTGTGTGAAAAAACTTTAAACGACAACTAAAACGAAACGGAGGGAGTAATATTAATAAGAAAATATCTAGTTATAAAATAAGCTTCAAAATTTGGGAAATCTATATATATAATTAGGGAGTCTTCTCTCCTTCTATGGTGTCCACATCAGCATCCATGTCAACATATTTCTATTTTTGTGGGCTCGACATATTTTATTTAGAGAAATTGTTAAAAATGCCCCTTTTTCAATACCCCTTTTCAAAAATGCCCCTTTTGAGAGTCCATTTTTAAGTTTGCCCTCTTTTAATTTTTAATGACCATTTTACCCTTATTTGAAACAAAATTAGGTCTACAAAATAAAAGAAGGGTAATTTAGTCATTTTGTAAATAAAAGGGGTATTTTTAAAAATGGACATCCAAAGGGGGCATTTTTGAAAAGGGGTATTGAAAAATGGGCATTTTTGTGAGTCTCCCTTTTATTTATTAAAAAAAACAATAAAACTAAAATTAATTCACACAATTTATCTTACAAAAACATTATAACTAAAATTAATTAACGCACTTCATATTAATATATTTTGCTAAAAAAACAGTAATTTACCAAAAAAATTAAATATTAAAAAACGGAAAAGAATATAAAACACAAAATATGAATATTTTTAATAGAGAGATAAATATAATATTAGATAATTATATCTTAACATATAATGAGAAAATACTTTTAAATTGTTAGATATAGGAAAAAATATTATAATATATTTGAATGGTACAACAATCATTTTTAAGAGTTACAGTTATTTAGTAGAATAAAGTTAATAAAAGTTAGAATAAAACATAATTAAAGGTTTTTACTTAAAATAAAAAGTAATTAATTTCTAAAAATTCACATTTAAAATTTGAGAATATATTTGTTAATGTTAAAATATCAATTCATGATACTGATTAAATAATAAGAAAGATTGAGTACATATAATTATTTATAACTCTAATATAATAAAATAGGACAATTAAAAAATGTGTCTATTTTTTTAATGTTTTCGAAATTAAAAAGTGGTCGGTTTTTAAAGACAAATGAATACCTACAATAGAAAAACTAATCTATATATATAATGGAAGAGTTTTCTCTTCTCTTAGGGTGTCCACATCATCACCAAATTAATATTATGGATCCTACTAATAATTATTTCAAAATATTTAATTTCATAGTTAATTACATCTCATTATCAAAGAAGTAATCATCAATTAATGCACAGTTTTAAATAAAGGTTACATGAATAATAATAACACAAGTGTAACATATTTACATATAAAACACTTAAATTAATTTTTTGTTAATATATAACTTAAAATGAACATAATCCCTAAATATTTAATTAATAAATAAAAAAATAATTATGAAAATTTCAGAAAAATACCAATGTTATTTAAGATGGACAAAAAGCTTCTTAATGAAATTTATTATACAATTAAAAACAAATAATAACTTATTAAAAATAAAAAACGTTTAAAAACTATCATTTTTAAGAATAATAAAGAAACCTCAAATATAATTTAGGATGAAAAAAGAATTGAATTGAAATGGAAAGCTATAAGAGTTTTTTTTTTTTAATAATAATAAGAAGATATTCATATTTCATGGAAACATTAAATTAAAGAGATCATAATGAAGTGGAAGAAATTTATTTAAAATAATATTATTTTTAGATTAAACAAAAATGGTTAAATGTTATAGTAAATGTATGATTGTAAAAGTTTTTTTAAGATATAAGAAATAATTCATATTTAAAATTGAATATTATATTTCAAGAGAGTAATAGTATAAATTCACATTGACGAAAAAATATAAAAATTAATTGTATCTTAATATTAAATTATAGTAAAATATAACAATAAAAATAATAAAGTTATATCTATATTATTGTTTGCTTTCTAAATAAAAAGGTGAATATGTTTAAATATAGGTAAAAATCTAAATAAGTAGTGTTGAGGAAATTTTAACAAATATATATCTTTCGTAAAATTATATTACGTTGAAGCATGAAAACCATATAATTAATAAAATAAAATAAACTAAAAAGATGAAAATGAGGAAATAGTTTTCAGTTAAGAATCAATTTAAAGTTTTATTAAAGTGAGCATAGAAGATAAAAAAAGAGTAGATGTTGGGAAGCGAACAAATGCATCATAGAAGATGACGAAAAATATTTGAAGAGAAATTGAGTAATGCTTGAAGCATCGGATATATGTATGCACATGACTAAACGATATTCATCAGATATATGTATGCATTATCGGATAGTTTGGTTTAGTAAACCAGACTATCATATTCAATATCAGGTTAAATCGTCGAGCCATGTAAGCGTAGTAGGATAGATAAGATTAAGACATTCATGATTTGGTCAAAACTTTCCTTAAGGTATGATGGTCTTGCTTCAATAGGTAAATTGTGCTCTCCAAACCTATTGAAGCGGCATGAATATTACGTTTATATATTTTCATAAATTGATGTTCAAACTCAGCAAATTTACTTTTAGTATGAGGTACGAATAGGTCAAAACATCAAAGACAGTTATATTTACAAGATTTGTTTATGGAAATAACTCTCTTTTTGATAAAAAAAAATTCATTGATGACTACCGAGACCGATTAATCTTATATAACTTTTGTTATTATGCGGTACGTACCAAATATATTTTATAATTTTCTATGATGTAGATTGTTTTGTAAAACAAGTATGAATATATATAGTTTTTAAAATTCAAGTGATTATGATTATTCTTAACATTTTGTATTATACCCAGTTGAAATTTGATATTCCGCGCAATACGCGGACGAGTAAATCTAGTCAATTGAATAGTAGTAATGTAGAAAAGCATAATCCTATTTGATGTATTTTTTTGGCTTTAACTTAGCGATGTTAGTTTTGCTTGTCTTACTGGATAAGCCAGTAGTAACCAGAAAAGTCAAAATCTTGTTGGCTAAGTCAGATATTAATAAAAAGGGCCCATTAAAATAAATTAAATGGGTTTAATAAATATTCCGTGTGTGATGATAGATAGATAGATATAAAACGCGACCGTCTACATTCTTGGGTTGTTGTTTACGATAAAAGCGGATTACGGGTACGCTTCTTCTAGGATAAATCTTTCCCCGATTCTCTCTTTTTTCTCTCTCGATACTCTTCTTCTTCTTCTTCTTCGTCAATTAGGGTTTCTTCTTCTCGCTTCTCTTTTGATTCTCTCCAGCTGATCTCATCCCCCTTTTGAGCGATGGAGTCTACTGCTACTGCTCTCGTCGTCAAGGTTAGAGAATCTTTCTTTCTTTTTTTGCGAATTGTCGGTGATTCTGGGTTTTTGGGGCGATCGTGTCGTTTCTGTTGATTTTCATGTCTTTGTTCTAGGTTTACCTGATTTATTGTTGCTTGTAATCGGTCCTTTCGTTTTTAATTTTACTTTCGATCGACTCTGTCTCTGTCTTGTAATTTTAGGTGTAAGTCGAAATTTTTCCTGACATACTTAGCAGTATCTGCTTGAATCATAAACCCTAATAATGATTATGACTATAACTCTATAAGTTATCGTATTTGGAATCGTAATTTGGTTTTCAATTCAGTATCATGGTGCTTGATTGTGATCGCTAAAGATTGTTTTCTTCTTTCAATTTGTTTCTTCGACAAGTTTTTTTTTTTTTTTACTATTAACTTGACCAATATATCACCTGCGGGAAACTTACTTATGCGGAATTTCTTTTGCCTCAACAATCTGATGTTGTATTGTTTGTTTATTACATTGAAGTGATACTATTTTTGTTTGTGATCATGCAGGTGAGCTATGGAGGTGTGCTTAGGCGCTTCAGGGTGCCTGTTAAAGCCAATGGACAGCTTGATCTTGAAATGGCTGGTCTTAAGGAAAAGATCGCTGCTCTCTTTAACCTCTCGGATGCTGATTTGTCTCTGACTTACTCTGATGAGGATGGGGATGTGGTTGCCCTTGTTGATGACAACGATCTCTTTGATGTTACTTATCAGCGTCTTAAGTTCTTGAAGATCAATGTGCAGTTGAACTCTGGCATTCCCACAAACCCTATTACTCCAGAGAGTAGTGGGAGTTCCACACCTGCTGGTATGCCTAACAGCCAAAACCCGGTTTCCAAAATCCAGAAGGGTATAAATGATGTTCTGATGTCTGTACCTAATCCGATGCTTGATACCATATCAAAGGTGTACATGGACCTTGCATCAAAGGCTGCAACTTCTAGTCCTGTAGTTGGTGAGATGCTTGATTGTATCTCCAAGCTAGGGCAACTCTCCGTTCCTCAGGAAAGTAGTCCTTGCTCACCTGTTACTAAGCCTGGTTCTTCAGGCCCTTCCCTCAGCAGGGATGTTCCTTACGCTGCTGAAAAGAAGGATAGCTCTGAGAGGACCCAGACCGGAAGGAAACCTGCTAATCTGAATGAACCCACTGGCTTTGCTGATCCTAAGACTTCTGGTCATGTACCAACCTCGTCTGGACTGGGTGCTAATTTCAACGAGTGTCCCTTTAGTGGCAGTACCGTGAATTACTCCTGTCCAAATCCAGTTAACCTTAACAAGCATGCTCGTCGTGTATGTCATTCCAAAAAGAGCACCAATGGTGATTACTGGACTTCATTGGGTGTGTTCCATAAGGGCATCCGTTGTGACGGATGTGGAGTTCTTCCAATTACTGGGCCTAGATTTAAGTCAAAAGTGTAAGGATGTCTTTTACTTACTAGTGTAGAAACTATAAACATGCTAGAACTTATTGTGCTTATATGTTTAGCTGGTGAATATTTTGCAGTAAAGAAGACTATGATCTTTGCACCATCTGCTATTCGGTGATGGGTAACGAGGGGGATTACTCAAGAATGGATAAGCCTGTATCAGTTCAACATCTACATCCTTTTAGAGGACAGTTTACCCAAGTATTGCTCTTCTTCTAAGTTTAAGATTCCTTTTCTTCTTGCTTATTCTATGTGTCTTTCTCTGATAGCTATATGGAATTCTTACCATTCTTTTTTTGTATAGTTTCCTAATCCTTGGTCGATCCACCCTGTGCCGCGAACAACCAATGGAAGTTCACCTTCAAGGTGTACTCGGCCTAAACTAGACAGTCGCTTTGTACTTGACGTGAATGTAGTTGATGGAACCGTTGTTGCTCCATCCGCCCCATTTACTAAGATTTGGAAAATGAGGAACAGTGGTTCGCTGGTGTGGCCTCAGGGCACACAGATTGTCTGGATCGGTGGGGACAGGTTCTGCAACTCATTGTCAGTTGATTTACAGGTTAGAAACTATTTCCTTAGTTTTCACTCTTTTAGCTCGATTCTTACCACTAACAGATCAATTATGTTGTTTGAATTTACACTCAATAGCTGGAGTTAGCTTCTTCTCTACACAAAGTGACAATAGCTGTTTGATTACATAATAGTAATTGTTTTTTTTTTTACACATGGCAGATTCCAAAGGAGGGTGTGCCTATCTATAGTGAACTTGATGTCAAAGTTGATTTTGTTGCACCAGAGTTACCTGGTCGATACATTTCTTATTGGAGGATGGCTTCCTCTGACGGTGCTAAGTTTGGGCAACGTGTTTGGGTGTTGATACATGTACTTACCTGATCTGTGCTGCTTCTTTCCTTAATTATTTGTTTCTCTCTTATCATATGTATTTGATACAGTTTTTCTTTTTGGATGGTTAGGTTGATGCATCCCTCAAGAATTCTGTTGTGAATGAGTTCCACGGACTCAACCTGAATGCCTCCCCCTCCCTTGATGAGAATTTTTCAAGTGAATTTCCAGGGATTATTAATTATGAGTCAGCTCAACCTGGCAGCACCAATGTCAATCCTGGGACAGTGAAAAGTGCTGATCTAGAGGGAGAAGAAATTGGTGAATCGCAGGTCCTGGAGAAAGAAAACACGTTGATTGGTGAAGTTCGTCTTGCTATCCCTCGGAGTCGTTCTCCTTCATCTTCGTCTTCGTCATTTAACATGGTTGAGTTCCCAAGTATGCCTGCTGTTGAGGTCGTGTCTGGTGGTTCTTCATCTACAAAAGACGTCCCAGTTCCTCTTCAAGAGGATTTAGAGAAGAATGACGTTGAGATAACCATGCTCAAGGAGCTCGAGGAAATGGGTTTCAAGGAGATAGATTTGAACAAGGAGATCTTGAGGGATAACGAGTACAACTTGGAGCAGTCTGTTGATGCTCTTTGTGGAGTTAGCGAGTGGGATCCAATCCTAGAGGAGCTTCAGGAAATGGTAAGTGTTGTCTGCATTTGGTAAATTAAAAATTTAATAAGCTGATTGAAATGTTGAAAATATCGTGATTTTGCAGGGCTTCTGTGATGATGTGACGAACAAGAGGCTGCTGAAGAAGAACAATGGAAGCATCAAAGGCGTGGTAATGGATCTCCTCACAGGGGAGAAGGAGGCTTAATGAGCTTTTGGATTGTGGCTACTCTTCTCTATCTATCTTATCAGGAATAATTATGTTTTTATAAATAAAACCTGATCTCTAGTTTGATTTCGTGCTGCGTCACATGGGTGTGTTCCTTTGCTTTGTGTTGGATGATGTTACTATTTATAATTTATCTAAGACGTGGATGGTTTCTTTCTTATTACAATGGTTCAGTCTTCTTTTGTTGATTTCATCACTTTATGGTCTCCATAATTTGGCTACAGAGAAGAGCTTTCGTAGTGACATATTCACTTGGTGGAATCATAGACATGGCAGTTGCAATTATTCATGTTGATCGGCTTCATTGAAACTGTTTACAACGGACAAAACTTTGTTGTTCTATCCATTGAAACCATTCAAAAGCTTGTATTTGGCATGTGATTGTGGTGCGGGAGCGGGATATAACTGTAAGCACAACCAATGGACCAATGAAAGACGCTCACAATTGAATTCATTTTTTCTGTAAAAAATTTACAAGTTTGAAGTAGTAAAACATCGTCGTCATGAGTTTGTTAGAATCTCTTTGAAGACGAACGATTAAACAAACTCCTAAGGTTATTTCTGCTGTCCCTATTCTTCTTCTTCTTCTTGAGGCCATTAGCTGAAGAAGAGAAGGTTTGTTCTTCTAAAGTGAGTTCGCGTTCCAGTTTCTTAGAGACCGAAAGAATCTCGTAGGGATCCCACAGCGACTGTCCGAATTCCCAATCCAAAAACGACGGATGATGCTTTGTGGACAAGGCCTCCGTTTTGAAACGTGAAGCCTTTCCTTTGACAAAAGCATGCTTTCTCTGCGCCTCGAACTCTGAAACGGTACGTTTTGAGGTTTGGGAGTGGCTGAGCCAAGCCTGTGCAGCTGCCTTCATCAACTCTAGTCTCTTTTTCTTCTCCTCTTCTTCCTCCCTTTCATCTTTAGCCTCTTGTTTCTTCCTCATTTCTCTTCTTCTTCGTCTCCATTTCGGATTTTTTGGAATCCAAGTTTTATTATGTCAGATTTAATTTCAGCCTTAAGTTTCTTGTTCAAATCTACTCACTTCTGTCTTGTCTCTTCCTTTTTTATCTTTCTTTTTTTATTATTTATTTTCAAGCCTCGTTTTTTCTCAGCCTTTAGATTTTCAGATGACTTTGAAGAAAAAAAATAACAGGTCAGCTGACTTGGTTTCTGACAATTTTACTGTGGTAATTTGTTCATTATCATCAATTTATCATCGACATTTTATAGTATACGGTATGTTCCCTTGTTTTAAAAATCGGTCGCCTAACCGCCTAGATGCTGATCGGAGGAGAACCACGGCGATTTTGTCCAAATCGGTAAAAAAGACTACTGATCCGATTTTTGTCCGCATAGACCGCCTAGCCCAATTTTTTCTTTTAATCTAAAATTCAAAACGTCCTACTTATATTCGAAATTTGTATAAAAATCATAAATTTGAGCTTAAAATCTTGTTTTCATGTGTTTAATGTAATTTTAAAAACGATATTATATAAAATTTTTAATTATAATATATTAATATGTTTTTAAAACATTAAATAGCCCTAAAACTAATTCCTGATTAATCTCCGTTTAATATCCGATTTTCTTGCTAGACGCTAGGCCCACCTTCCGACTAGTGCCTAGCGATTTTTTTGACATGGGACTATGTTCTATTGCATATGATGAGATTATTGACCAAATCGCAAATTGATTAGTGTGTATATAGATATGTAAACTGCTGACAAAAATATATAAACTGCAAAATTATTGTCAAATTAAACTATTTTCAAAGATCCCCAAAACTTAATCAGGAACATAACTCTATGATCAATCAATACAAAACTACCCTAAAATAATAAGAGATGACTAAAGCAAATACAAGAAACCAATTCAATGTTGCTAATGTCAAGAATGCAGCCACATAAGTTAGGAGTATGGAAACTTTCTAACAAAAGCATAAGCTACTTAATACATTGCCTAGTGATGAAGGTAATGCCCTCATTCAACATTTTTGTTATTTGATTCAATCTTGAATTAGAAGTTTATGCTATAATAAAAGGTGAAACAAATGCATAGCTGGAGATGATGAAGAGATGTTTAAAGGACTCAACAATTATCATAACATTTTTCTGAATAAACCATCTTCATTGTTATTTGTTTATCACCTCACAAAAATGGTCATTCAGACTGTTCAGACTTTTCTCTCTTACATGTTTCTATCATTGTACACAGGAAATTACTTGTATCATGGCTATATGGATCTGCAAGTGCTGTGTGCGCTAAAAACTAAAGCTTCCTCAATGATCTCCCACTTAAACCCTGCACATCAAGAAGTTGATCCAAGTTCATATAAAGGAATTTTAAATGATCCACTTAAACCCTGGAACATGGTTTGGTTCAGTTCGGTTTTCTGGGTTACGTTTTTTTTTTAACCGATCCTTCAGCTTCTTACCCTGGTCGACGGGGTTGGTTACGTGATGGGCCACAGTTGAGCCTTTTTAGACAGGGCCTTTATTAGATCGATTTTCGACTATACATCATAATCTATTTGAGTTAGGCTGCTATTCCGGGTCGGATCTGAAATGCGAGACCCGACAGCGATGGGGTTTGAGAACCGTCTGGAAGTATCGCAAAAGGACCAGCCACGTGCTCGAGATTGGGATTTTTTGGTTAACCATGGCTACCACCATTTTAACCTGATCAAGTTGGTAAAAGTAACCAATCCTTATCTTTTGCCATATATCAACAGAGAGAGAGAAAAAACATGGAAAAAAAAATCAACAGAGAGAAAGAAGAAAAATGGCAGAGAGAGAGACCAGGTATCGTGACAGTGTCATCGTGGAACTCTAACAAGGACTGACTCTGCTCGAGCCCGCAATGGCGGCAAGAGATGACGCCATAGCCAGATTACGCAAGAGGATGGAGGTTATGACAAGTTCAATGCAGAGTATGATTCCGTTGATTCTTGAGAAAGCCGAACAAGATGCAGCTTCGGAAGGACTTGAGGAAAAGAAACAACACTCTGGTTTCGGAATTGCAGACGCTGCGAATCGTTATGCCTGCGGTATCTTCCTTACGAAGCTTATCCATAGGATGATATCGGAGTTCACTCAGCCCGGAAAACAAAGCAAGAAAATAAATAATAAACAAAGAGGCGAGTAGATTCGAGCAATAAACTTAAGCTGATATTTTCTTGCTTTGTTTTTTCATAGTCTTAACATTTATAGTCAAATGTTTGCGATGATTTTATTGTATTGACTTTGCACTATTAATTTTTCATCAAATTAACATATTTTTTTAAGACAAATGCTCAAGCAAAATTAACATACTTTTTATTACTAATAAAATCTTATAATTAGGATTAGATAACAAGCTCTCTATATTTTACAAAGAAATAATATTATAATATGATAGTTAAACAATATATTTTTAAAAATGGTGATCTTCATATATTCACTACTCAAATCAAATCTTCATCCCAACTGAATATCATTGTATGTTAATAATTTAACTAGAAATTGATATATATATATATATATACAAACTAGAACTAAAGTACCAACAGATTTGCGTATATTATAACCAAATATCTCCATAGAACCTTTTCTCACTTTAACATAAACAAACAAAACCCAATGGCCACGTTAATGAATAGTTGAATACGTCTAAAGTTTTATATTAACAAATATATTTCAGTTTAACCTTAAAAATCTTTTTTATTTTTAGAATGTACCTTTCCAAATCCAAAACGGAATATCAAATTCCGGTTACATAATCAGAAGGATAATGTATGTACAGAATCTTTTATTCCGAACACATGGAGTTTGTTCAGTGTTCATCAGACTTGTTTAATGAATTAAAAAATGAGCTAGCGAGTAATAAGAGATGATGACTAAAGCAAAGACAAGAAACCAATTCAGTGTTGCTAATATCAAGAATTCAGTCCCATAAGTGAGAAGTATGGAAACCTTCTAAAACAAAAGCATAAGCTACTTAATACATTGACCAGTGATGAAGGAGATGCCCCCATTCAACATTTATTGTCTTTGATTCATTTTTTGAGTTAGAAGTTTATGCTAAAATAGAAGGTGAAACAGATGCATAGTTGGAGATAATGAAGAGATGTTTAAATCAACAATTAGTATAACATTTTTCTGAATAAACCATATCCATTGTTATTTGTTTATGACCTCACAAAAAGGGTCATTCAGGCTGTTCAGACTTCTCTCTCTTAGCTGTTTCTATCATTGTACACAAGAAATTACTTGGATCATGGCTATATGGATCTGCAAGTGCTGCATGCGCTAAAAACGGAAGCTTCCTCAATGATCTCCCACTTAAACCCTGCACATCAATAAGTTGATCCAAGTTCATAATTGAATTATTTCATAGTATTCTTAGTTTTATTGTCACTGAGTCACTGCACTACAATCAGTATAAAAGTATTCCCAAAGACTGACCTCACACCCTTTTGCAGCCTCTATCAACTGTTTACAGAACCAGGGAACTGTATTTATATCATGAACCTCACTTTCATTTGCTTTTTCTTTCAAACTTGAAAAGCTTGGAATTGAGAGTCCATCACAGCCCTATACCAAGATTTTTGGAGCTTATAAGATATAATTGCTCCTCCTTCAGTGGAATTAACAGGAAAAGATGGAATTAGAAACCTATATGATGTGCTCTTATATGGTACCTGGAAACTTGATATGATCCCTTTACTTATTAATTCCTCAACACAAGACCTTAATATTTCATAACGAACATGAAGAGTTGGAGGCCCAACATAAGCTTTTATGTCAGCTCGATCCACGAAAGCAACATCTGCAACAAGAATATCGATGTGTGAAATCTCTTAAACGTGAATGGCAAACACAGACAGTTTCATTAGAGGCTGAGAATGAGAATGTAAAGCATTACGATTAGAAGCAAGTCGAAGTCATATTTCTATTGCGAATTCAATGCTGAATATTATGCAGAAGAACAAAGATTTATAGAGAAAAACTCATGAGGATGAGGACAGGATCAAAATAGGCTACCAGCTTACCAATAGCAGTAGTTATGTTTGATGTTGTAAGGATTATCACATTCGGTGCTGATTTCAATTTGTCCATTTGGGTGAGTAGTGCATTCACAACCTGCAACATATGAATAGCGAGATTTGGTCTTCAAGGGTTAAGAACTGATTTTTTTCACAAATACTAGGTGTATACGAAATTTAGAAGCAAGTTGGTCTACCCGAATAGAATCTGAAGGTTCTGAGCCAGACAATGCAGCTTTTCGCGCAGCAGCAAGACTTTCAACTTCATCTGCAGGGATAACAATCTCAGGCTCAACGCGAGAAACAAGCCTGCAAATATAAAAAGTTATGACAAAATCATAACTCACCGATCAAAACAAATACCAGATTTCCATCTTCCTCCACCATCTCTTGGATTTTTTGGAAAAGCTTGGCAACCTATATTGTTGGAATTAGTACACATAGTGAGAATAACAGAATTTTCCAGTAAAGCTTTTCATCTAAGATACGTCCAATCACTTTACAACTATTGGTGAAGTTTGTGCTATCACTACTAGACATGAAATAGATTCCCAATCAGCCTACTATGACATCCCAGGAATCCACGGACTGTGATCATCAATAAATAAAGTAGAATAGCTATTTTTCCTTGGAAGATCAAGTGGCAGTTACAAGTGGTTACATCTTTACATTAGTTGAACCAACTACAAGGTAGCCACAAATCTGGTTGAAGTCCAATAACCCATGAATACAAAGTCAGCTTGTAGAGCAAATCTACCGCATTAAAATGCATGCTAAAGGGAAAACTTAAGACAGGAGTTAAAGAAAGGAAAAGTTTGTATCATACCAGTTTGCCACTTTCAGAGAACCATTTACTAAATAGAGAGTGAGCATTGACTTCAATCAACTGGCAATGTGGATATCTGACGAAGGAAACACATATCAAAATCAAAATAGATAGATAAAATCGAGATAATACAGTCAACATAGATTAATCTGACAGAATAACATTTTGTCCAGAAGAGGACCTGGAGTTGCACCGAATTGAAAGCTTTTGAGCCAACGCTTTGCAAAGGGATGTTTTGCCAGTCCCTGGTGGTCCGTGCAAAAGAATAATCCTGCACAAATAAATAAGAATTGCTAGGTAAGTTAGGAGAATAGCATGTACTGAAAAACATGCCACTTCCCTCACCTATTCCATGAAACGAGATTTGGATTAACACCCTTCTGCGTGAACAGCAACGCACTTGCAGCGTACCGTAGTAACCTTTGCTTAAGTCCAGATTCATATATTAGGCTACACAACAAAAAGATCCAGACCACAGAACAAATTGTGTCAGAGCCATTACTGCTTTATAACCAGAACAAGACCATAATAGTAGACAGACCTTTCCCATAAGCCATCAAACTCCTTAGCGGGTAGAATCCATTCATTAAAGCTAGCAGGTTGTCCATCTGCGCACAAGTCCTCACATGGTCCTTCTTCAAAGAGCTGGATGTAAATTATAAACAAGTCATGTACACCTAGAGAAAACAAAGTTGACTGCCTACATGACTTTATAAGATTTGCATATACCTGGAAGGCGTGGACAACTGGCTTCACTTGCCAGAACAAGAGAACATCATTATTTTTCACCCATTCCTCTAGATACAGAAGCAAAAATATCAGTAACATCAAACCCACATCTATACTAGCATGAAACTAAACAAGACCAAATAATACCTGTATCACAAATGCAAATTCTCTGCACATTATCAACAAGAAACAAGTCATCTGCAGGTATCAGTACCAGTCCATCTGCATAGCTCATGCTCCTAGTTTCCAGCATCCTAAAGCAAACACAAACTATCCCATTATCAAGAAGAAAACAAATACAGAGCTAATTTAAGCAGACCTCCACTATAATAGATTAGCTAATGTGATACAAACCGTTCTACAGCTCTCTGGACATCCTCTAGACGAGCCGTGCTTGAAGGCTTTAAGCAGACCTCCACTATAAAACACAGAAATGGAAAGAAGAAGGGATTCATAAAGAGAAGCACGATAATCGAAATCCAGGATCGAGAGGAAGGAGAATTGATGTACCAGATACGAGGAATTTGTTCTCGTGGAGGCAAGGAGGAGGATTGGGTGTAGCGACTGGCTCAGCGACGGCAATTTGCTCGGGGATAGTCGTTGCTTCAATGGGATTCTGGTGAGAGACCTCCATGGAAGCATTGGGAAGAGGAATCGGAATCGTGTCCTCCACCATAGGGTTTTGCTCGGCAATCTCCATGGGAGTGCTCATGGCGTGAGTGTCTCTGGATTTGGGAACACGAAGAACGAGAAACTTATCGATTTCAATTTTCAGATTTTCCCTTCCTCCGGGAATAGGCGGGATTTTTTTTTTGTTCTTTTTTTTTTAGGGATATTTGGTGTTTGGCTATGGACTGAAAATTTCAGGTAAATTTGTTAAACTTCAGAAATGATTTGTTTAGTGATAAAATTAATATTTGATATCATTATCAAGTTATCAACCTTATAAAAATAAAATACAAATTATTAGTATTTGACAGCTCTTAGCTATTAGTATTTGTTTAGTGTAATTTGAAATGTTCAAAACTCAAAAGCCGACTATATGAATATATATGGGATTGATTCTACAAAGATTAAGCAAGGTCAAGATTTCAGTCAATAAAAGACTTGTGACTGAGAGTTCAGATGACCACAAATCAGTGGAATCTCTCCAAGATGAGAAAATGTAGGATAAGTAATCCTCCATATTCATATCATATAAATCTAAATCTTACATATAAAAAATATGGCAATACCTTACGATTTGATTTGGCTTTAATTGGATAATTAACCGGATGATGCTTACACAAATACAGCAAAAAAAAAGAAAAGAGAAAGTGAAACAATAAACAGTACTTATTTTTAACACAACGGAAACAAAAAAACACAACGACATGAAGTAAAACGTTTTTTTTATTCGACTTAACAAAAGACCTCATACTTGATAGTTAAATCCACTCACCTCCTTTGCTCAAACTTGGCCTTCCTCTTCTCCATGACAAAGACGACAAACACAGAAACAACGGAGAAGACACTGAAAAATATGGATGCTATGTCGAGCGCCACGTGATGACCACTGGCCTGAACGCTGAAGAGATTTGTCGTCCTTCCCTCATCTGTGCTTTGTCCGTATGCTACTTCGTGGCCATCTCCATCAATTCCATAGGCACGTACGAAATAGGTTCCAGTGGGGATATCACGTTCGACGGTCCAATCGAGTGATTGGGGGGTCATGTCGTATGGCTTGGACACAATCTCGTGAGGGCAACTATTGTCCTTAGAGAGTTTGTTATCAGACTTCCGCCATGGTCTATCAACTTGGCTGATCGGTGCATAACAAAGCTTGATTTGGATTGTCTTGAAGGCAGCATCCATGTCGACCTTGGTTGACGACTTTAGCTTCCATGTAATTGTCACCATATCTTTTCCACCTTCTAAAACTATAGAGACCCATGTACAAATTTAAAGTATAAATATTAATAATTTTTTCAATAAAATAATATGGAAATGAACCATGAATCATGCATATCCCAAAAAAAGGTCTAGAGATGTATAAACGAAAATAACTTTTTTTCAATAAAATAGGTTATATATCTCTATAATTAACCTACAGTTAGAGCCTAGACTTCAAAAGGTAAGATTCTTAACTCACAAATTTCAAAAGTTTACAGAATGAATTTGAAGGTACATAATCTTTATTTTATAAAAAAAGTAAGACGATTCACAAACCTCCACTATCTTTTACAGGTTTAGCGGTGACCTCGATTGAGTTTTGGAGCTCGGTGAAGAGTCTATCTTTGTTTCTTCCACGACTCGACTCGGTGAGTGAGAATATGAGGACTGAGACGAAGAGGAGAGTATGGATGTTCATGATCTGAAAGAGAATGTGATTCTGGTAAGGGAGGATAAATAAATGTGTGTCACACGTGTGTCTCACATTTATAGTATGCATACAATCAATTATCTTTAAATACATAAATGCCACTAGACGCCACTATTTGAACCGGCGATTATTTAGTATGAATAATTTAAGGAAAATTGCAGGCGTCATTACTCGGTAGTCGACACAAACATAGTTGACTATCAAATAATGTTCAGTCACGAAAAACAATGCCCAAGAATGAAAAAAAAAACAAAATTTCTCACTATACCAGTTATTATATCCCATTCCAGAAACCTAATAATGTTTAGGGGCGGAAAACAATGCCAAGAATTAAAAAAAAAAAAAAAAATTTCATCATACCAATTAGACCTAATTAGATTCCTATCTGAAATTCTAATAAAAAAACTTTTTATCAACAATCTAATAATGTTCAGGCACGGAAAACAATACCCAAAAAACCTCCTCATCGTACAATTAGACCTACTTAGATCCCAATCCGAAAATTAGACATTCGAATCTAGGTCATATCACATCACACTCAATACGATTAATTTATCTATAAACTTTTTTTACTCATGGACATCCAAGCATTAACACAATTATGCACTTGTTATCAATTAGAAATTTTTTTAATAAAATAGTATTGAGATGAATCATGAATCATGTATATCCGAAAAAAAGTCTAGAGATGTATAAACGAAAATAACTATTTTTCAATAAAATAAGTCATAGTATATCTCTATACTTACCTACAGTTAGAGCCTAGACTTCAAAAGGTAAGCCCTTAACTCACAGGTTTCAAAAAATTATAGATTGAAGGTACAAAATCTTTGAGTTATAAAAAAAAAAGTAAGGCGATTCACAAACCTCCACTATATTTTACAAGTTTAGCGGTGACCTCGATTGAGTTTTGGAGTTCGGTGAAGAGCGTATCTTTGCTTCTTTCACGACTCGACTCGGTGACTGAGAATATGAGAAGTGGGACGAAGAGAAAAGTTATGAGAATGTCACACGTGTGTCTCACATTTATAGTATGCATACAGTCAACTATCTTTATATACTTATATGCCACTAAACGCCACAATTTGAACCGGCGATCATTTAGTGCGCATAATTTAAGGAAATTTTTAGGCCCATTACTCGGTAGTCGACACAAACAAAATTGACTTATCAAATAATGTTCAGTCACGAAAAAAATGCCCAAGAATGAAAAAAAAAACAAAATTCCTCACCATACCAGTTATTATATCCCATTCCAGAAACCTAATAATGTTTAGGGGCGGAAAACAATGCCAAGAATTTTTTTAAAAAAAAAAAAAAAAAAAACAAAAAAACAAAATTCTTCATAATACCAATTAGACCTAATTAGATCCCTATCTGAAATTCTAATAAAAAAACTTTTTATCAACAATCTAATAATGTTCAGGCACGGAAAACAATACCCAAAAAACCTCCTCATCGTACAATTAGACCTACTTAGATCCCAATCCGAAAATTAGACATTCGAATCTAGGTCATATCACATCACACTCAATACGATTAATTTATCTATAAACTTTTTTTACTCATGGACATCCAAGCATTAACACAACACAATTACTTGTTATCAATTAGAAATTTTTTTAATAAAATAGTATTGAGATGAATCATGAATCATGTATATCCAAAAAAAAGTCTAGAGCATAATTAGATAATCTAATTAGGTCATATATCTCTATACTTACCTACAGTTAGAGCCTAGACTTCAAAAAGTAAGCCCTTAACTCACAGGTTTCAAAAAATTATAGATTGAAGGTACAAAATCTTTGAGTTATATAAAAAAAGGTAAGGCGATTCACAAACCTCCACTATCTTTTACAAGTTTAGCGGTGACCTCGATTGAGTTTTGGAGTTCGGTGAAGAGCGTATCTTTGTTTCTTTCACGACTCGACTCCGTGACTGAGAATATGAGAAGTGGGACGAAGAGAAAAGTTATGAGAATGTCACACGTGTGTCTCACATTTATAGTATGCATATAGTCAACTATCTTTATATACTTATATGCCACTAAACGCCACAATTTGAACCGACGATCATTTAGTGCGCATAATTTAAGGAAATTTTTAGGCCCATTACTCGGTAGTCGACACAAACAAAATTGACTTATCAAATAATGTTCAACAATGCCCAATAATGAAAGAAAAAACAAAACTCCTGACCCTACCAATTAGACCTACTTATATCCAAATCCGGAAACCTAATAATGTTTAGGCGCGGAAAATAGTGCCAATAATTTTTATTTTTTTTAATTTCTCATCATACCAATTAGACCTAATTAGATCCCTATCTTAAATTTTAATAATATATTTTTTTTATCAACAATCTAATATTGTTAGGCACTGAAAACAATACTCAATTTTATCTTCATCGTACCAATTAGACCTACTTAGATCCCAATCCCAAAATCAAACATCCGAATCTAGGTCATATCACATAACATTCATTATGGTTAACTTATCTATAAACTTTTTTCTCTAATCAACATCCAAGCATTAACGCAACGCAAATATGCCCTTGCTATCTATTTAGAATTTTATAAATTAGAAGACTTCACCGTCCCATGTAATTAAGGTTCATATCACTTAGACAAAAAAAATTGAGTAGCGAAATTGAAGTATATAAGGTTGGCTGAGATTGATTGTTGGTCCATCAAAATTTGTGCTAGATATAATATCTCTAGAACAAGTACTCACTTACTCACTAAGTTTGCTAGCTAAAGCAGTCTCCCAATAAATTCTCTTTGTGATGTTGGTTTAGGCAGCATTTTTGAATCAAACACTTGTGAATGTTACAAACCGGATTGCAACTGCTTATTATTCGATTCAACCCCATCAAGAACTTCTGTGAAGTGTAGACTCACCAAAACGATTCAGCACGACAGCTACACTTTCCCTTCTTCCTAGGGAATTACTAAACTCGGAATCATAATCACTTACATCTCATGTTTCTTCACTCTTCACTCTTCACTCTTCACTCTTTAGTGACATTTTGCAATTGCAACATAAAACAATGTATTTCCTTTGCAACCGAACTCATGCGCCTTGTTGAGACCATTTCAGTACACATTCATCTGAATCAAGATGACCATCTCATAGTCCAAGCTGTTAACCATAAACTAAAAATCAATCCTTTCCTTCCATTTAGCGCCCTTAACATCACTTGCCTCCATGAATTGGAGTTCTTTCAAAACACTCGAGCAGTTTCAGAAATTCAGTCAACAGAAAACCATCTAGTTTCATCTGAACACTTGATCTAATCAACATAACAACACTAATTGGTCTGCTAATCAAGCTCTAACCGTTAATAATGCATCCAAACTACAATTAACACCAAATCTTATCTATGTTTCTTATGTCATCTGCACTGAATCTATTAAGGAACCATGACTTGACAAACATAAGTTCATCAGCTGAACACAGAGGTACACACAAAATTCAGCTAGACACTACAAAGGGATACCTTTATGTAGAGATTTCCTTTAATAGAACAACTAAATCCAAAACAGATAATCTGATATAGATTCCTTATTAAGAACTTATGGAAGTTCTTTAAAATAACTTGTATCCAATCAATTGAAACTTATATTCATCTTATTCGAAAAGCCCCAAATACATATTAGTACATTCAGGTGCAGCCGTATGATAGTACAATCAAAACAAAACAATCATCATATAAATAGGGATTGTGATTACAAATTCTGAATTTCAGATAATTGATCATTCAGGAAAACTCTAGCTTTCAAAATCAGTGCTTGGCATCCGATCAGTACCAACAAGAGATAACTTGTTCTCATATACATCAATATATCCAAACGAATACGTACCTGGGGGGCACTCCAAAGCAGCTTCCAAAGATCTATGGTGAACCCCATGAAAATCAACAAAGTATCCTCCTTTATGATCGTGTCCGGACAAACAAACTTTAACAGAGTCATACTTGTGTATAATGTTCATCACTTCATCAAAATTCCATAACAAGGCTGCTTTGGATGCCACACCAGGGCTCATAGGCACATGCCCACATACGATAACTCTCTGATTTGAATTCGTTGCATCCTGAAGAACACTGTCTAGCCATTGCAGCTGTTTCTCCCCAACACCACCATTATACTTGACAAATCTCCTCTCAACATCCTCAAGACCCGCGGGGCTGTTTTTTTCTGAGTTTGGGTTCTTTTCTTCAAGTATTTTCAATGCAGCGATAGTATTCGGATGGTCCTGAGGCCATCCAAGAGCACTGATGTCATAACAATCTAACACCACAATTCTATACTCTGGGGTTGGTGAGAAATCATAATAAGCATTGCCATCACGACCTGGGATCTTGAGCAACGGAAGCAACTCTTCACGGGGGAGATTGTAGAGGCAGTGATTGCCAATCATATGATACACAGGACCGTTGAATTTCTCGAATTCACGAACCAGTTTCTTAGTGGCAGCCAAGGATTGATCTTTGGGACAAAAGCCATCAACAATGTCTCCCATGTTAATAACAAATTTGAGGTTACCATGTTGGTTCCAAGTTTCAACAGCTCTTTGCAGGACAAGGAAGCTGTTTCTGTAATACCTAGGAACACCTAAAAAAGAGCGGCCATCTGGAATATCCGCATACTGAACATCAGCAATAACACCAAATGAGAAGAGAGGCTGTCTGGCTGCAGAACCCATCAACCTATTGCTTCTGTAAACATCAAAAGTTATTATGTTAAAAAAAACTTATTCATAAATGAATCACTTAGTTTAGCTTCACGTATAAACCCTCAGGATAAAAAAGCCACGGTTTTTTGAAAACTGGTACATGGTAACAAGTTCATGAGCTCACAAATTTGAGCAAAACCTTTTTATGAAACAGTAGTTGAAAATTCACAAAACAAAGGGTGGAACAATGCAATTGCAGGCATATTTGGAAAGGTCTAATCCCAGTCGTCAGCGAAAAAGATTCTTAAAAATCCATTGTAATATGCAAATTGGAGACTCAATGCTCGATCTCGGCGAAGATCGTGAAAGTCAAAACGGAAATCGTATGGAAAAATCAACATCATTAACGTAAAAGACACACTTACAACAATACAGCTTTGCGAGGATAGGACAAGGAACGAGCAGAGGTGAAGCAGAATCGGACAAGGCGGAAATTGGCTAATTGCAGAGATAAACAGAGAAACTGGGAAATTTCTTGCAAATCGTGTAGTTTTCTTTCCGCTGGTACACTAACTACATGCTGTTTCTTTCCGACGAATGCCTTATAAAAAAATTTAAAAAAAAAAAAAAACACCCAGTTAATTTGGTTTGGGTTATCCTGGGCCTCATCAATGGAGGAGTTTCTTTGCGTAACGCAATCGATTGCGAGAATTTAAAATTAGTTTTGGCCTTTCAGAGTTTCTTTGCAACGTATCTCTCTTGTTATACCATTTCTTCAATATATTCAAATGTAAATGCGCTTTTTCAATCTTTGTTGGCATCTACTGACTAATATTTATGAAAAACATGCACTCACTCGTAGCTTGGTGTTATAAAATCATTCATTAATGAGTAACACTTTCTCAATAAAAAAGTACATCTACTTGTAGATAGATAGGGTGGTCGAAAACTAAAACTCTTTTGAATTTGAACGATCCAGTTTACAAAGATAGACAACAATCGCCTATCACTTTAAAATAGAGTGATCTAAGCATATTTGTTAATTTATATCAGAATTCGTGGGGTTGTGAGGTAAATGCTTACTACAAATCATACATATTTCATCTCTATTTACACTCGTCAAATTGAACTCCCGCTATCTTCTCCTTGCGAAAAAAGGATGCCTCAGGGCTTCACGAGCGGTTAGTCTCTCTGCCGGATCAAACCGCAGAAGTCCTTGCAACATATTTATTAACTCCCCCGCCGAGTGGTCCACATGTTGCATTATTAGATTCTGCAATACAGGCATCACCATTGTTTAACCCAAATGACCTATCATAACACTTTGCCAAATCAAACTCAAACTATCAACAATTGTCCAACCTGAAGCCTAGGGAGCTTCAAAACTGCTTTCAGGCTATCTCTTGAGGTTGCCCCATCCGGCCAATCCAAACGACCTCTTCTCACATATTTCTCTGCATGCCGGCTTTACCACACAACCCAAAAAATAATCCAGTTAAACACCCGACCATATATACAATCACTTCAGAATTCAGACCCTGTGTTTGATTCAACTCACTCCACTTTCTTCAGCATTTGTTGAGGAAACGGCCCAAGAACACGCTCCATCATCGCAAGATGCTCCAGGTTTTCATGTGTTTGGAACAATGCTTCACCCTACAGATCTCAAATCTTTCAATAAAAGAAAAGGTAACAAACTCCCAAACATTCATTAAAGATCAATCTACTTCAGACACATACCGTGCACAGCTCCACTATGATACATCCAATGCTCCAAACATCACACGGATAACTCCAGCCAAGACCTGCACACAAGGCCATGTTTCTCCATCAGTTTGTGATATAAATATCAGAATCTATAAAATTGAATGACTTTTTTCAACAAGAGCTACTCACCTAAAATGACTTCTGGAGCCCTATAATGTCTGGTTGATACAATGTAGGTTTGGTCCTGGCGCTCATAAGTTGTGCTACCAAAATCAATCACCTTTATTGCACTTGATTTAGGCACTCTTTTATAGCAAACATCCCTTTGTAATCGGGAGCCCTGCAGAAAAAACACAAGCAAATTCCTTTAGCACTGAACTGGCCACATTTAGGTCACACCTAGGTTCATTTGAGATATACCTTGTACTCAGGAATCTTCACATAGTCCGAGGAGACTAACAGAATATTTTCTGGTTTAAGGTCCGTATGAATCATGCGCAAGTCATGCATAACTGTAAAATCAGACAAAAACAAACAAGAAAAATTGCCATAAGAAATGGAAAGAGCTGAAATTCAAAAACAAATGATGTAACCATCTCAGTAACAAGCAACACTCAGACGAAAATGCAAGAGCATGTAGATTGAAAAGAATGCAAAGACTACACACATGCTACACATTCCAAGAGTTGCCAGCCAATCTCACGAACAAGATCAATGGGAAAGGACCGATAATTGTTTTTCCGAAGAAAATCGTATAAACTTGATCCAAGCTTCTCAAAGACCTGTAGCAACCATTTAAGTTCATCCACAAAATTTAACCCCAACTATTTCCCAAACCGGGGAAAATCATAGACATCACAAAATTGACTAAATACTTACAATACAGATATGGTTACGATAGTCAAACCAGTTCCGAATTTGTACACAACTGCAAGGAATAAAATGACTTAACTTTTGCAAAAAAGAATCTTGGAAAACTATGTCCGACTCCATCAGATTAGTGATGCATGATGAAAAGTCAACAGACAGTACTTACCGATTGCCACCTTTGTCATGTTTACCAAGCTGTTGCAGCATTTCAATTTCAATCATAGCGGCCTCGCGGTATTTCTTCACACCACGAACAATTTTTACTGCCACCATTTCCTTCCTCTCCCTATCCCAACATTCTAGCACTTGACCAAAAGTACCTACAAGGAAAATTTAGGAGATATTCGAATCAGATATGAGTACTACACTGGACCTGTGAATAATATAAATAACTCGTACAACAACAATAAATTCATACCTTCGCCCATTTTGCTATAGATTTTATCTGCAAAACAAGAAGAGCATAGAGCAATCAGAACAATGAAGTCAAAACAATGTACACAAGGTCCACCACAACACCTAAAGTTTGTTTAAAGCCATTGAAAAAACAATTCTAGAAAAATTTAAAAGGTAACTTGAGGATTATCAAAACAGCTCTTGGTAATAGAAAAGTGGGATTACAGCGTGGAGTTAAGTCATCTCCCAGTTCAAACATGTAATGTCCATCCTTATCATCTTCTCGCCATGGGGGAGAACCATTACGAGCCACACCCTTAACACAAAGAGAGCTACTATTGTCTGAAGGAGCTCCGGACGATGGAAAGCTTGATAAATTTCCAATCTCTTGCCCACAAAACATTCCTACCTGAGCCTACACATATTCATGTACCATAACAGACAGATGAAAACCTGCCACTATCCTTCTACGCCGACACGTTGAGTCATATACTATCTTAAAACCTTAAGGGTGAAATCTAAATACAATCAAGGTATTTTCAAGGTGCATTAATTATCTATTGTTTAGAAATAATAAATCACTTTTTCTAAGTTGTAACTGATAGAACGAACTCACGATCAGCTTAAAGTTGTAGAATTTGAGAGGGAAAGGCGAATCTACCAACACAAAATCTAGCTCAAATTCACAAATCATGCATCAGATCAAATTTTGTTCACCATCAACAAACAAATACTAAAAACAAAACATACCACAGAAAAAAAAGTCGAACCTAACTCACTCAACATCTAAAATATTTCAAAGATAGATCAAATTTAAATAGATCTAAGACACCACCTAATTCACACACGAAATTCACCTAATCACACAAAATTTTGGTTTCTTCAAAATGAATAATTGACAACAACAACAACAACAACAAAATCATTAAGAAAATTGCAAATCCAGAAGAATCAACACAAAAATTAGACTTCGATCCTAAATTTTAAATAAAATCAAATTTTCAAAGGAATCAAACACAAAACTCAAATTGGAATCATAAATAACGAGGTCAAAAAAAATCTATACCTTGGTTGCCTGAGGCAACACATCCCAGCCGAGACGCGCTCTCTTTCTGGGACGGCGATCCATGTTAGTATGAGGAAATTCATGCACACGCTCCATCTCCATAATCTCAGAATTCCAGAGAAAATCTTAATCGGTGTGATTTTTCAGAAAGCCAAACGGCGATGACAATAGCTTTTTGGGTAAACAGAATCGTAGCCTAACCCTAGTTTTTAACCAGAGAGCAATGCAATTTGCGATAGAGAAGCAGTCAGAAACAATCTCCACCGTCCACGTGTAACCACCCGGTATAACCTTGGTTAGTTGGAACTGCGCTGGATTTAACCATAGTTGGGTTGGCTCAATAATTGATGGGGGAATATGCTTCCACTTTTCAGACGATGAAACAACAGGAAGTGCTTTATATTTCTCCTAAAACGACGCGCATTCTATTTGGGTCGAGATCGTTTTTTCCGCGGGTCGAATATTCCAAACTTTAACTAACTTTTTTTAATCGGATGTCTCCAAAGGGACCAAACTCTACTTGCTAGTCGCAATTTTGTCCTAATTATTTTATTTTGTCTAATTCATTGATAATACGGATCTTGGTAAGTTTGCCATTGGAATTTCAAGGATTCAAAGATGTCTTTTTTAACTATTTCAACTACTCTACCTTCCAAAACTTTTCAACAGAATTTACATTTTGTTTCTTTTTTTTGAATAGAAATATAGCCACTTGGAGCTAGGTTAAAGAGAGGTACTAATGGCCTCTTAACTCCTGAATATAATGGCCTAGTTGCTGAGCACCAACGAACAAGGCATCAGCAGCCAGAACAACTCCAAACTACAAACATGACATGAGAGTAGAGGTAATGAGGAACATGATTCACAAAAGAAAGAAGCTACAAGAGACTTTGATTGACAAAACTCACCAGACGAGCAGTATATACTAAACGGTACCTCCAACCTTCTTTCGCAGCTTGAGCTCTTTGCTGGTCTGTCCAACTGCAAGTACAAGGATATATGAGCATAACGCCAAATGTTGCATATGATGTACAAGATAGAGCTATGTCACTGATAGGTCATTTGCAGTCAGTTTAAATAAATACAAGGCCAAGGCCTATTCATTTATCTCCTCATTCTCGTTGATACCTTTACTTTACTTTTCAGTCTGAGTAGCAAAAGAGACACTTACCCAAGGAACTCTGAAAAACCTCCAATCCCAGCAAGCTTCAAGGGTTGAACACCTTCTGTCACTAGATCCTGCTATCACATAATAAATGAATTAGTTATCAATGTTGTAGAATTTCAGATTCTGAAACAAAACTAAAAAGCCAAAAGCACAAAACAGAAAGTTTAAAACAATTGTATCACCTCGTCTTGAGCAGATTCTAAACCACCTTGTACCCAGAACAGATTCTCATACCCTGCATTATATAGTAGCTCACAAGCAGCTAAGGATCTGACAAGAAATAATTGTCGAGTCAAGTATAAATTTGAGGATCATCCAATCGTACTATCAACATACTAACTTTCAATATAAGACCAATTTTCATTTCAAAATAATTGCAACCATTTAGTAATGAATCTCCTTCACTCTCCTTAGGAACCAAATACCTAGATTACACACTCAATTCTCTGAATATATAATATATAGGCAGGAAATCTAACCAGCCACTTATTCATGGTTACATAAGGTAACCACATATCTAAAACCATGGTTAGTTACTCTACTCTACTTTGAAAGGAGCAGTGAGTTCTCTAGCGATTCTAGCCCGTTGCTTGTATTAAATACCTCAATCCTTTTTGGCAAGCAACAATCAGCTCTGAGTCTTTTGGGAATTTCTCCTCAACCTTTGACAAGAAGAGCCTACAAACGAAGTAGAAAACCAAGAAGTAAGTAAGTATGTCAAAAGGCATACAAGAAGATCAGCTTACTCTCGCAGACATACCTATTAAAAGATAATGTAGGTGCTCCACTCCACCATCCCCCTGTAGAAGTGGCAATACATTGGTGATCAAAACCAAAAAATCTTATCAGAACCAACAGAAGTTCAATAAAATGGTGTTCTAGTCTCTATCCTAGATGGGATTAATGGATGATATACATTGATAATATATAGATAATAGAATAGTGATAAGTTGATCCAATATCACTATAGTCAACAGGTTATAATGGTGAAGGAGTACCCATAGCAAAACTAGTGACTTTTTTGGAAAGAGTTCCAGCGTCAAGGTTGTCATCATTGTCGAAGATAGGAACCCAGGTGGAGCCTTTAACCCATGCCTTGAGAGAAAAAAAGAAGAGAAGATTACCATTTGGTTTCAGACTGCCATTGCTGAATCAGAAGTAACAAAATGAAACAGTGGCCAAGGAGCTTGAACTAACTTAAGAACATGCCATGCTAAGGTGAGATACATGAACCAATTTTTTTGCAATAATGTGACAATTCAAGGGTGAAGTTAGACAAGACAATCATCATCTATGGATAAGTAACAAACAGCCTAATAACTAAAAAACAAGAATGTACCTTGTTGCGCTCGCTAGAGGGGCGGACATCGAGTAGAGGTTTGTTTGAAAGAGAAATAGCATACCCTGCTTCTCTTGGTGTAAGAAGCTTCACTTTTCCTTCCCTTAACTATGCAAACAATAAATTTCTTAATAAGGAGAAGAGTTGAATAACAATGAAAATGAAAACATGTTGGTTTTTATCAATTCAAATGTTCCAAATTTAAGATATAGATGAAGAATTGGGCAAATAGATGATTGTTACCAAACCATCCCAACGCTTTTTAGCAGCAGCCATGTCTCTCATTTGCTTCAGATCAATATCTTCATCAACAGCTTGCATCCTAACATCTCCTACTCTCTAACATTCAACCAAAACATACAGAGAGAGACTGAAATTTCACTTTCGTATTCCCATCAACCAAATCGAATGGAGAAAACGAGATACGGCCATAAAGGCAAAATAGAGAATCAACTTACAAAGCGGTGAACAGTGGAAAGGGATGTGCCTCCAAAGGGGGGTTTAAGTGAAGATACCATTGAAGAGGTCATCCTCGAGCTCTGGTTTCTGAACAGATTAGAACTAGAAGCTAATAGAGGATTTAGAACAGGAAGAGATAGAGACTCCATGTTTCAAGTTCTTCTAAGCTTTTAATTCCAGTAGTAGTAACTGAGAAGATAATCTTCGCGTTTGCGCATCAACAGAGAGACAAAATAAAAGAGTAGTCAGCTTCGAGTTATTATTGGACCGATTATCAGTTTTGGCTTCATGGAAGCAGTCTTTCGAACCCGACTCGGCTCACTTCGGTTTTAGATAATTCGGTCGGAGTCTTATCCGACTCTGACAGTACACGTAGCTTAAAAGAGAGATTTGATGAAGCATAGTCCTAAGAGTATAGAATACCAATATGATTGGGCCAGTATAAGCCCATAAAGATCACGTGTTTGGGCCAATAGAAGCCCATAAATATCCCCATCAAGCCTATGGATCCTTCTTACTATAGCAATAGCAAATATCAAATCGAGTGCAAGCTTCTGTGCTAGGGTGGATCGAGAAAGCTTGAGTTTTTGTTGGTTGGTTCCAAGATTCTGTTTGCAAGCTATTACACTTCAAGTTCTGCACATGAACAAGAACAACAACAAGACGACATCACACGAATCTTGTCAAATAAACTAAAAACCAGTCTAAAGTGTCGTGTGGGAAACAGTCAGACAAGTTACCGACTTTGTTTAAATCTATTTTCTGTGTTGTATCTTAACTTGACATACAAACTACAATACAAACACACACCCCAATAAATTGAACGACACTCAAATACAATCTTTTGACATCAAATCCCATTTTTTCATTCGGTAGCTCGACTTCTGTCCAACCAATCCACACTCTTACGCGCTCTCTCCATCGGCTGAGACTTGTCTCTGTATATGTCCACGCTTCTCCTCGACCTCTCCATTTCCTCAAATGGAACCTTCAGCTTCTCTGGTTTCTCTATGTGGCTCAACTTGTATCCCTGAAACCTTAGCCTGTCTATGCTTTTCCTCGGTTTTTCTCTCCCATCCTTGCTTTTCCTTGGGGCATCTACGCTATGCCGAGGAGGTTGTTCGCACCCTTCCATGCTTCTTCTTGAGAAAGAACTGTTTCTTTTCGATGCAGATTTCTCCACAGCGCTCACAAACTTCTTGAGATGGCCAATGTATTCGGGAAAGAGTTCAAGATCACAATGGTTTCCACCTTTGAGCCATAGTGGTTCATATTTCTCTTGGCAGAGTTCCCAAAGCTGCTTCCCATGTGAGAAGTCAACCACATCATCCGCTGTTCCCTGCAAATCGAAAAGCTTACACCATAACTAAAACTAATACTGAGGATTATTAGACAATGATTCATACAAGAAAGAATGGTTCTTGCGAGACAACATGTTTAGCCAATAACTTGGTTAACTCAATTTTCCAATCAATAATCTTTGATCACGGAAACTTACATGAATCACGAGGACAGGACACCTCACCAGCGTAATTTTGTCAATGTTCTGAAGAAGATCAAACAGAACGCTGTCAAGGAAGGATGAATGTTTATAAGCAACATTATGTATAGAAATCAAAAGGATATTATGTTTACCTTGTATATGTCAAACCAATAAGTTCGCTTAACGGGATACATAACTCTAAGCCCAGAAAGAATTGGACTATGAAGAATGGAAGCTCTTAGTCGAGGCAAACGTGCAGCTAGGTCGACGGTTGGACCACTACCGACAGATTGACCATATAGGATAATGTTCTCCTGCTTTGCCCCATAATTCTCTTCCAGACATTTGTAAGCAGCCTCGATATCAGCATAAGTGTTTTGTTCTGTGGGCTGCAACAAAACGGAGATTTATGTTTGCAGTGTAAATAGACCAACATTTAAATCACAGAACTAAGAGAGCTTATAGATCTGTGGTTACTCACCTTCCCTGATGATTGGCCATACCCTGAATAGTCATACCTACAAAAACCACCACATATTTAGAGGATTTTCCCATGTTATAAACTATAAGCTCACGGAAGTAAATCCTAGTATTTTCTCACGGAAAAAAATAGCGTTCTAATCCGAGAAACCAATCTATCCCAGAATCTCAAGTTATACCTGAATGAGCCAAAAAGTTGTTACATCAAAGAACTACATTTTAGGTATTCAGTAATTGCCTTTAGAAACAGAAACAATAACAGATCTTGAATGACTAGAAATGGAAATGTTTGCCCAAGACAACTTTGATGTGAACAACAACCAAAATATCAAACTCTCAGTAGAGATCTCGATTTAGAACAAACCCTAAAGACAAAATCTTCCAGCAAAAATCGCAACCTAAACTCTCAGTAGATTTGTGAATCACAAATCCGCAGCTTAATAAAATCCACTGCTTTCTACACACTGAGACCAAAATTTGAGCTAAATATTTGCATCTGGAAGCTGCAAATCTACTTGAACAAATCCAGAAAGCAGAGAAATTATAAAGAGTCGAGGAATTTCTCTGCAAGATCCCGAGTAGCTAAATATAGAAAGAAAAATCTGATCTGGGAGATTCAAAAAAGGAACTAACCCCATCAAATTGACGCGGAGATGAATACTAAGCTCGATGAAGAGCTCATACATCTGACCGATGTCGGCAGCATTTCCATGTGAATAGAGAAGAGTGGTGACGGCCATAGGGTATCTGATGTACATAGCCACGATTTCGGTGCCTCGGCGCGTGGGCAGCCTCAAAATGTCGACATTTTCTCGGTGTGGAAAAGGGTCCATGAGAAATAGCTCCGTTGCTTCATCTCTGACCAGCTTGTACGACGGCGGATTCGGAGGAAAAAACGCCAACTTCGCCGCCATTGAAGAAGTCACACCTCCCATCTTCTCTAAGAAAGAGTCCACTCTCTCTCTCTCTCTCTCTCTCTCTCTCTCTCTCTCTCTCTGTCACTCTGTATTAGTAAGTGTATAAGTGAGAACTAGGAGGAAGTCGCTGGAGGATTCAAAGAAGAAGACGAAGATGGTGATGATGATGATGATTGCGAGGAAACATTCCTTAACTTTTCCTTCTCTTTCTTTTAGACAGATAGAGAGACTCACTGACTGATTTTGGACCTAAATAATTTTTTTTTTTTTTTTTTTGCAAATTCTAACCGTATTTTAATGTATTTTATTTATTTGTCCAGAACGAAAATAGTGATCCTGTCTCTATTGCGTCTAAAAACCAAAACCATTATTCCGGGACTTAAACAAAAGAAAAACGACATTTCTTCTTTTGTTTGTTTTGTTTGAAATGTAAAACATAGCCAATATCATTTGTGTTGAAGAGTTATCTGCTTGGCCACTCATACTACTACACATGATAAATCATAACAAGCATGTGTGATTCACATGGATAACATCATAAAGTCCATTACAAGTTAAAAGATTCTAAAAACACAAGTTGCTGGTGTTAGCTAGATTTGTTGGCTATAATATGATTTTAAGATTAAATTTTAAAAGAAACTTTCGGGGTAAGTACACTAGTACTATTAAATTAAGCTACATTGTAAATGGATTTACAGGTTGTAGGGTTTGAGGGATACACGTGGATGGTTGGGTGCCCTAGAAAGAATTTACTGGCGGGATCATGGGGTAGGGGACCAATACAATCCCTTCCTCCATCTTTTCTGGCCGGCAGCAACTATATATGTATATCCGACCCTAGCTCCATTTTTGTAAACAAAACTACACATACATATATACTCCAAATAATTGGTGTACACAAAAAAATGTATAAATTCCAAATAATAATGGACTAGTTTTTCTTTTATTACTTTCTTTATCATAAAATAATATGACTAGAAGTTGAATCTTATCACTTCTTAGAGTATTTGCGTTAGGTAACTATCATGATATAAAAAAAATTAAAATGACAATTTTGTTTTGTCCAATTACTAATAGAGGTTAATTAAGACACTTTTTGGATGATTTCATTCGATCATTTGTCTAAGGAAAATATTACATTTTCACGCTAGACGTTGGAAAGATATATATAGTGACAATAATGAAAACTGAATAATGTTATTTTATTATAAAACGTTGACGATAGATCCAAAACCAATTAATTAGTAGAGGGAGGCAAGCAAAGAGACAAGTTTGAAAATTAATGGAATGACTGGTCGAGAAGCTAAGGCTAAGGTTGGGGGATAAGAGAGTTCCAAGACAAGATCTGGCCTAGAAAATGAATCATCAGTGTCGCTCTATTCTCATACACTTTGTTCCTCTCTTTTTAATTGGTTTTTTTATTTTATATATTGCGTCTATTATTTCTTACGCTGTTTGCTACACATGCATGAATATATGGACCATTTAATCTCGTGTATCCCAACAAATGTTGGCATGTTGCATTTCCATATAATGATAAAGGGACTGAACGAGCACGATCGAGACTTTTTGCTTATTGTTTTGTCTTTTAAATGCATATTTCACTCGGTTTGTATTCCGTACGTACCCTCTAATAAGGCGAAACCTTGATTCCCATTTGGCTTGGAGTTATACATACTTGATACAAACAGAACTCGTAGAAGAGTCTTTCATTCAGATTAGTGAATTCAACGAGTCATATCAAATAAGTTAAGGACTGTAAGCTGGATCGTATATCATTTAAAAATGTGTGGGAGTGAGAGAATATTTTTGGTTAAGCCTATAAGAGTTAGCTATGAGTCTATGAGGATTAATTATTAAGCTCAAATTCAAGTTATACCTTTAGGTCATAACAAATCATTCTCAAATGATCACTCTATTGTAGCAGTTATTCACGATTACTAAGGCGCGAAAAAAAAGGATATATAGTTTCTCGACTTGTAGTAGAGTATGAATCCAAAAAGGATTGGTGCATAGTATGAGGTGAAAATAAACTTTTGATGCGGTTTTTAATTTTGTCACAATTAAAGATCAAGGACAATCTTATCTTTAAATGTATTAGTAATGGTGAGAGCAGGCCGGACTCATATATATACTCCATGTACAAATTAATTTTGACCTTTTAATAATCTACCGACTTGATATCACTAGGTGCTAGACACATATTTTTGCAATGTAGTACTATTACGTTACATGAAAGTATCCGATTTCTGTACAACTTGGGCTCTAGCTAGTATATAAATGATTTTTCTTTACAAAAACATAGTCGGTCCTGTGCCATAGCACTCCCAGTTGTAAAAACCGAGCATGGGTGAAAGGGTAAGAGAGTAAGGGTTTGACTGGTTTAAACGCAGCGGTTGCGGTTGCGGTTGCGGGAGTTTGCGGAAGCGGGCGGTTGCGGCTTCAAGCGTTATCAAGTGTTGAACGATTGGTTTAGCGTTTGAAAATAGGTGCGTTTGCGGGAGTTTTATGATTTATAAACCAGCGGGTGCGATAGCAGTTAAATAAAAAAATGACCAAAATAAATAAAAAATATTACAAAAAAAAGAAATAAAAACACCAATATATTATTATGATAATATTAGAAAAATTGAACATGCTTAATAATTAAAACCATAAATAAAGTACTAAATAATTATTCAAAAATAAATAAATTTTGTAACAAGATAGTACTTTATGCATCTCGTTTAACATCAAGTAATGGGACAAATTATAAATAACGTTGAGTTCAATCAAAAAGCAAGTGAGTTTCTATTCGAGAAAACAAATCGAAACATATATTCAATCAAAAAGCAAAGCAATACGTAATGAAAAGAAAAAAAACGATGCCATGAAAAATATTCAAAAAGTTACACATGAGGTGATGAATGAATAAAATGATATATGATACTTACGTTTGGTTATTGATTTTCATCAGTTTGGATGGAAGACATTGAGAGAAATAGGGTTTCAAAATATTATTAGGGTTTCTGATGAGAACGTGATACAAAGATGAATTATATATGATTAATATATATTATAATAATTATAAGTAAACGTTTGATTTTTTTTTTTTTAAACCAACCGCTACCGCCCGCAACCGCAAACACTTGCGGGAAGGAGCTTTTGAAATTTAGCGATTTCGAGCGGTTCGAAGCGGTACAGAGCGGTTTCTATGATTGGTACCAACCGCTAACAATTGCAACCGACCGCTAGTAACCGCTAGGAGGGTGCTAGCGGGAGAACTAATCAAGCCCTAAGAGAGTATTTCATAAAAGGTGTAAGCTTTAAGCTAACAAGGGAAAGAAAAAAAGGGAGCGTGTATATTTTTATTTGTACACGAATTTCTTGTATTCTCTTTGGCAAACTTATTATTGGAATTGGTGGCTAAGATTCCAGCTAGACGTAGGTGATATACATAATTTTGTATAGGATTATCTATAATTTTCTAGGATACATCACATGAGTTTAGGCCTAATTAAGCCAAATAAGTAAGCCATATAAATAAGCTTAGAGTTCGTATTATTCTACACTTCCGGGTCTATATGCCTTTGGAGTTGAGTGAAGAAACACGTATGATTTTAAGGCCCGCAAAGATCAAGCTAAAATTAGACATTTTGTCATTTTCACTGTCAAATGAATCCCAAATTGGGATCAATCGGAGCTAATTTCCCAAACAACCAAGAATCATCGTGGGGCCAGACAAGCAGATTGGAAGTTTTAGTCATTCGAAAGGCTCGACATCAGTCTGGTAGAGGCGGCCAATGAAAATGGTCTATGATGGCCGACGAACAAAGCGAAAACGCAAGATAGACCAACAACCTCCAACTCCTCAAGCCATCCATCGTCAAACTCAAAACCGTCGACATCCCTGCCAAGTAACCATAACTTTTTTATGTTTCCTTTCTAGTACTAAAACTCTTTTGCTATAAGTAGACACTACTTCTATGTCCTTGGTTAGCCACGTAGTGCACATTTTAGAATTCAATAAGGCTCAGTAATAATGTTTCTTGATAAAACATGTGATGTCTGTTGGTGTGATTTGATGATATGGACATAATGCTTTCAGTTTAGACTAAAATTTTCATGTGTGGTTTGTTAAGTGTTGGATTAGAGAGTGGATCCTTGTAAGAAAACAATCAAGATCTCAAGCCTCTTCTTTAGGAACTTATAGACTGGCAGAGCCTAACTCACATTACCACACCTTTCAAGTCTTCTTTCCCTTGGGCCTCAACCAATTTGTGCTTTGCTAGAGAAGCCTTTCATTCTCAGTCGATTTCATTCTAGTTGCTAATATCTAAGGTCACCAACAAGGCATGTCCCAGGAATGTTGTATCCCGATGTGATTGAGGGAATGGAACGCCAACAATTAGGAATTTAACTATGAATAAGAGATCATCAAAAGCGAAGCGATACATATTACTTTAGAAGAAGCTTAACTTTCACATTCAGAGTTCAGCCAAAAACAATCGTTGAAGAGTGTAAGAATCTCGTCTAAACAAAATGCAAGAGAGGGGGAGAGAGGGCACAGAGAAATCTCAGCTTTAAAATCCACGCCTTGGGCGCTCCTCCGCTACATTCACTCTGATTGCTCTACCCTCCATGTTCTGCAAATAAAGACACAAGGAAATATCGATTAAGAGATACATCACAAAATCATGTTAACTGCATTAGCATAACCATATACGAGGAAGAGGAGGTACCTGTCCATCAAGAGCAGCGATGGCGTCGTTGAGTTCATTCTCGTTAGACATTGTGACGAACCCGAATCCACGTGAACGACCTGTCTCACGGTCGTAAACCACCCTAGCTTCCACAACTTTACCATGCTCGCTGAAAACCTGTTCTAGACGGCCATTGTCCACATCCCATGGTAGATTCCCTACATAGACTCTGAATGCAGGTTCATATACCCGAGGTGCACGTTCTGGACGTGATCCTCTTGGAGCTGCCTTGTTTACCGTCAGAAGACGTCCGTTCAGATCCTGACAGACATTGAAAATACCAACAATGTTCAGTAATGTTCTCACAGACAGAATCACACGTTAGAGAATCCCCAACTCAACTCAGTTGCCAATATATCTTAGGCAAAAACCATGCAGATGCAACAAATGGGATTAGGTAGTGAACAATTGAGATTATGCATCAATCGATAATGATGTCAAAGCTTCCATATTCGATTGAACAAAAAAGCAGAGAAAGTGTGACAAAATAGTAACATCCAAAATTTCAAATAACAGCAGTCCATAGTCGAAAACTTTGGTTGGATTAAGAACAAACAATGCCACTTATGAGCCAAAACCAAAAGAACAATATCCCATCACAAAACATGCTACTACTTCAGTCTTGAGATATGATTGAAACATATAAACTTACATAACGGTTGAACTTCTCGACAGCTGTCTCAGCTTCTTCCACGGTACTCATTGTCACAAATCCAAACCCACGACTCTGGTCAGTTTCCCTATTGTATATAACCTTCAACCACAAGAATCCGAAGTTAAGACTAACAAACATTATCTCTTGAACAAAAAAAAAAGGAGAGAACTTCGAATAAACATCATACATACTCAAAACCAAAAGCATAATGTCAACAGATATTTGACGACTTCAATAAAACTCTCAAAGCAGAGATGCTCCAAACACAGGCAGAAGCCAAGAATTCTACTTTCCTCATCCATTAGACTCATATTTGATGGAAATGGCAATGCACACAACATACATAACCTTAAGCAATGCATAATGAACATATAAAAGCTTCAAGGCGACCATAAGAGCACAATAAGGAAGTAGCTAAATTCACCTCGGCGATTTCAACAGTACCGGCTTGCTCAAAGAGCATAGCCAATGCTTGGCTATCAACATCATACGCCAAATTTCCGACGAAAAGCTTGGCTTCTTCCGATGGCTCCGGGAACTCAGCTCCTTCGCTCACATCTCCTTCAGCATCTTGTGACTCGAAACTGTCCTCGTTCTCCTCAACGGCGACGCTTCCTTCCCCACCTTCTTCAGCCCAATCCGAAGTCTGAGCAACGAAGGAGACAAAGGGGGATTTTTTAAGGTGGGTTTTGGATTTGAGAGATAGAGAGAAGCGAGAGAAGCGAGAGAAAGAGAGGGGCAGGTTAATGTGTCCCGTGAGGAGTGAAACATTAGAGCAGCGAATTCTGGAGGAAGAGATGGTAGAGGAGATGGAAGGGTGGGAGAAAATGGTAGAAGAGGAAGAATCCGCCATGGCTAAAGGCTTCAAGCTAGAGGTAACTATAGAAGAAGCCATTGCTGAATTGTGAGAGATAGAAGAAGTGGAAGGAGAGGAAGGGAAGGGTTTTAGAACGGTGGGCGAGATAAGGATAAGGAGGGCCGAGACAGCAACTTCAAATGGGCTCTTATGTTTTAAGATACCAAAAATCTCACTTGTTAATGACCCAAAAACAAAAAATAAGGGCCGATGCATTTTGGAAAGAAAAAGAGAGGAAAAATTGAAGAAAAATAACCATTTCTCTGTAACGAAAATTTCAGAATCTCTTACGAAAATTACAATGTCTATATAAATAAACCTATCAAAACGATCTTACCAAAAAAAAAAAAAAAAACCTATCAAAACGAAGTGTATATTAAATATTTAATAATCAAGGTCTATATAACTCAAAATCAAAATTCTAGTCACAATTCACTCGGTCATACACGTTCTTTGCATTCATATTTGACTTATTTTTGTGTGTTAATATTTGCTTCATTTTTTAGTCTGTTATGTCACATAGCCACATAGGATGTTAGTTTGGGTAAAACCCTCTACATGTAAACACACAATCATTTATATACAAACCCATTTAAATTTGATGCCCATTTATCCCACCCACCCATTTACAACCATCAAAATTATTTTGACCAATTTAAGCCATATGTGAATTTAATTAATTAATATTTATTTCATTATCTAATATCATTAAATCTTGATTGCGAAATCACATTTTAGGCCTAAAATCATAGCATAAACCTAAACTTCCACTCGAGGTAGACATTTTCTTTTTCACAATACAAAGTCTCATTTTCAATCTTATTCCTCAACCTCTCAAACTGGTCTAAAAGATGATGATACCATCTTCTCTATAATCGATCAAGACACACTATGAGGTCTGATAACTATTTTATATTGGAGACTGGCGTGTTTTAAAAAAAAAAAAAAAAACGTATTTGTTGAGTTTAGCCAAGACTCGAATTGAAAAAACTAAGTCTCACTTTGAGTAGTTCTGATTCCTTTTTGTTGGTTTTAATTAATTATGGTTTCTTACCGTCACATCATCACTGAGATATATATCAAAGTATAATCTGTTAAGAAATCCAAATTACTAACAGAACATAAGTAAAAGACTCAAATATCATGGATTATTACAACTGACCACACGTGACCGCACAAACTCAACTCATAACATGACCACTGAAACCTTCTTGCTCCATTGTAGTTTCTTAGTTCACCAATAACTCAATGTGAAGATGATTTTAAGAAAAAAAAAAAAGGGAACAATGTGAAAATTCTCTACCTAGTTTGATGCTATATACAGTATGACAAAAAAAAAAACAATCTTTAAATCTCTCTTTGCAAACTTATATTCGCATCATTTAATACTCACTGACTCACCAAATCAAACCAGCCACATACTAATCACGCCAACTACATACATCATTAGTTGCGACCACTTGTTAGTTTCAAAGGTTTTTTTCTTCCTTTCGTTCCTAAATGTATTATTAGGTTGCACATGGCTCTCTTTAACAAAAACCCAAAAAACGTTGCACATGGCCAAAAAGAAAGGTGGTTAGTTGTTTAATTAGTTACTTTCAAATTTTAAATGAAACCCATAATCAGTGGACAGTAGTCAAAACACGAATATGAGACAAGCCCATCAAAAGTAGAGCTACTGTGGTATTGAGTATTGACTGCTCCAATTATCTTTCTTCTGGAAATTTTATTTCCTTTTTCTATTCCAATCTATCAACTCCACTTTTCTCTTCCCTCATGGTCATGCGTAAACTTGTTTTTGTTATTTAACCGGAATCGATGCATCGGCCAGAGGGAAAAAAGTCGCGGCAGTTGGTCATACATTGACTGGCTCGAACATCTTTGACCCAAAAAGTTACCATTTTACATAACATTCCAAATTTCTGAATAAAAAGTAATTTTATTCTGAAAACCAAAGAGCCATTATTGATCTGCACATACAACCTCTCCTTCATTTTTTTTTTTCAACACCTCTCCTTCCAGCGGCGGACCCAGGAATATATTTTACAGGATCATAAAAAAATTAGTGATTTTAAAAATGTAAATCATATACTTTATTATGGAAATATATTACACAAACATTAAATATAGGGAGACTCACAAAAATGCCCCTTTTTCAATACCCCTTTTCAAAAATGCTCCCATTGGTTGTCCATTTTTAAAAATACCCCTTTTTATAAGATATTATAAGATTTTACTCTTCTTTTAGTAAAAGATTTACAAGTTATAAGATTTCACAAGTTTTTTATAAGGTTTTACAAGTTTTTTACAAGTTATTAATTTCTTATAAAACTTTATAAGTACCTTGTAAAACCTTTTAAAATACATTGTAAAACCTTACAAAACACTTGTAAATACTTCGTAAAACCTTTAAAATACCTTGTAAATTTTTCCCGCCAAAAAAATTTTGCCAAAAAAATTGCAGAATCACTTTTCCCGCAAAAAAATTTTTTGGCGGGAAAAATTTTTACGGGAAAATTTTACAGGGTATTTTAAAGGTTTTTTACAAGTGTTTTGGCGGGAAAATTACGGGATCACTTTTCCCGCCAAAAAATATTTTGTATTTTGTGGACCTAATTTTGTTTCAAATAAGGGTAAAATGGTCATTAAAAATTAAAAGAGGGCAAACTCAAAAATGGACTCTCAAATGGGGCATTTTTGAAAAGGGGTATTGAAAAAGGGGCATTTTTAACAATTTCTCTTAATTATATTAGAAAAAAATTAAGTTTTTTCATAATCAACAAAAACTTATACTAAATCTTAAAATTGATATAGTGATTTTCGAGACTAAGAAAAGAATAAACATAATTATAAATATAAAAATACCAAAACAGTCAGTTTGGAGAGTTGAACATGGGTTCAAGGGGTTTTAAACACAGATTTTAGCCAAATATGCTACACGAACTTTAAGATTTTCTATGCATTCACACAGGTTTTAATAATTTGACCAAGTCAGATGACCTCCCCATTTTTTTAGTGGGTCCGCCCTTGTCTCCTTCATGTATGTACGCAAATTTATACTTCAAATTAAATTTATAACTATGTAATCTTTTTTTTTGTCGTAATTTTATAACTAATCTATTTGTCTTTGCAAGGCTCGTAAGACACAAAATTATATTTATATTAATATCAAGATCAACACATCTGCACTTGTTCCCACACTTTAACCTAATTTAAAGATTCCTTAAAACAGAGAATCCTTAAGAAGGCTCCTAAGAGCAGCAAGCCAGAGGTTGTATTCTCCTTCAATTTTACCCAAATAAAGAAAGAAAAAAAAGAGAGTAAATCAAGGGATAAAGAAAGAAGACTTACTACTCTACTTATCCCCCTTAATTGGTGGCTTTAATTGCCTTTTCCTATATAATTATAAATTGGGTAAAAACTTAAGTGTGACCACTAAGCCACAATCAACAACGAGACCCCTTACGGCAATTCAGTGCACCAGAAGTAGACGTTAATGGTCCAACTAGAGAAGACGGTTTAGCTCCAAGGCTCGAAGCCTTGGCATAGCTAGACGAGGCTGCACCGCCAGACGGCGTAAAAAACGCACCGTTTAGCAACAAATCTCCGGAAGATCTCCAATTCCATCTCTTCCACTCGCTCTCAGGCGCGTCCTCATGCTTAGTCACTTCTTTGCTAAATCTGATATTGGGGGCCAAAAATCTGTTCCCTTGACTATTGATTGTAGGATTAGCACTTCCTCCAATCGCATACATCTCCCAATGTGTGTAGTCATTGTTCACCACATGGAAGTACCCATGTCTACACCTACACAACAACAACACAATGGTCCCAAAATTAATCTATATCCATGGTCACAATCACATTAACTACTAGAACAAAGTAAAAACCAAAATCACATTTAGTTATATTTACCTGGGCATTCTTTGGACAAGGCCTTCACCAAAATGGTTAAAAGCAATGGTGACTTGCATATTCTTGTCACGACTGTAAGTATCACTATGACCAAGCAACATGACCTTATCATGATGTGTCATGTGATTGTTAGACAAAGTGATAGCCGTTGAGCCCATTATAGCATCAATGAGTCCATCTTCACAATTAGAGAACGAACAATGGTCAACCCAAACATGACTCCCTCCAAAGATAGAGACACCGTCACCGTCCGATATCGTTCTCCATCCGAAGTGCCGTGGGGAGCTCCGCACCATAGCGTTCCCACCTTGCTTGCAATCATGGATATGAATCCCATGGATGATAATGTTGGTCACGTACTGGATCGTTATACAAGGCCCACCAGAAATGTGTACGGAAGCTCCACGACCATCAATGGTCTTGAAAGAGTTCATGATTAGCTCTTCTTTGAGCTGAATCGTCATGTCTCGTTGGAAGATGATCCAGAGTGGCTCGTCTTGGATCACGGCGTGTCTTAAAGTTCCGGGCTTGGGGCTAACTGGGTTGTCGTTTCCTGAGTCGGTGACCACGTAGATCCGACCGTCACGGCCACCGATGGCGTTTTTGCCGAACCCAATGGCGCAGTCGGCGAGACGTTGACGGTGTTGCTCCCAGTGTGGGTCACATCGCCAACAGTCGTCGATTGGGTTACCGGTGGTACATGAGAGGTAACCTAACTTCCTTCTTCCTGCAACCGACGCATTAATGCTCCTGCAACAACACAAACACATTGCAAACCTTTATTAAACAAATGAAAAACAGAGACTTTTCAAAATGGTCCCATTTTTTGTAAAGGCGACAACTTTGTAACACTATGCTCAAATTGGGTTTTCATAAAAAGCAGAAATTAAAAGGAGAAGTGGTTTTCAAGTAAATGTGAAGGAAAGGTTGAGAAAAAAGATTCATACTTGTGAACTTCTTCAACAACAGATTCTGGGTCTGGAACTGGTGAAGATAAGAACAATGGAGCATAGAGAAGAAAGGAGACAATGGTGATAAAGAGCTTCTTCGTCTGCATTTTCATTTTTCTTTCTCTCTTACTCGGATTACAGTACTGTCTCTCTTTCTTTCTCTCAGATTTTGGTGAGAGAAGAGGGAAGCGAAGGAAGGCAGAGGAAAGAAGATTTGAGTGAGAATAGAGAGAAGAGGAAACTTTGGGGGCTTATATAAAGATATAAAAGGACCCCTATACTATTTGTTATTGGAATTTTTAAGGTTTAGGTCCCACTTTTTTTCTTATATCATCTTTAGTTTTAAAAAAAACTTATACTATAATAATAATGCCTAGGAGAAACCAATAATATGGTTACATCCGTTACTCAAATCTAAACTGTTGACAAAAATTAAATGAAAAAGCCTCCAATCTAATTAGGTCGATATGGTGTACTTTTCAAATAACTTCCACATGACCTGTTTAATTAGCCTAATATATACAATGTAGATCCAGGAAGTTGGTGTTAAGTTAACTATAAGACCATCCACAATGGTAGTTTCTTAAGAGTACTTAAACTATTAAACAAATAAAAAAAATGAAAGAAGAAGAGAGAGACATAGCAACGTTTCTAAAACAAAGTACGCATAAAAAGCTATTTCTACACATGTTATTCATTTAGTGGTCCAGTTTTTATTTAAAATTAAAATTTAAATATAAAACTAAATTATATCTAAAATACTATTACTTTATTACTAAAAACTCTAATTGGGTTTCTTCACCGTTGGGGTTGCTCTAAGGATCCACTTCAGGAAATTATTATAGTTTATAACAAACACTATGTTTGCATGTATTTATAGTTGTATTTTAATGTTTTTTCATACAACAACATGCAAAGTCGGAATTTAGAAAAGCTTGACTTTTCTTGATTGAGGCTTCAGGTTTGTTATGAACTCTATAATTATTATCTACCTCATGGCCTTCAAAAAATTTCTAATGTATCTTCGATTTGTTTGAACATGCATGTTCTACATTGTCGTGTAGCGGAGAAAGACATCGACTTGCACCCTTTAAGTCAAGAAAAAGAAGCTGGTGGTGGGAACTAGCGATCCAACCATATCCACTAAGCGTGTCTGGGGTATGCCAAGAGCCATCGAATTGCTAAGTAGTAATGGTTGAGTCGAAGCACTTGTCAATTACCTCAGAACTACCAAGTGGGAGTTTGCAACATGGAAGGCCTCCGTCTCTTAAACATCATTCTTTGCAGTGGCATTCGATGGAATATTTTTTTTTTTCAAAAAATTTGTGTTGTAAACTTTCCAAATATATTATAGAATCCAAGGGAAATTTCGAATAGCATCATTTGTTCCACCAAGTTATAGTCGAGATTCACCAATACAGATGTCAATGGAAGACGATTGGAGGGCGAGGGAATCTTCAAAACCCCTAAAAGTGTTTTTATTATACTACTATGTTTAATTTTAGTTAGATATATTTCTATACATTTAAATAGATTGTTGTACTGTATATGCTTTATTAATTACTCCTATCAGTAGTTTGATACACTAAATAATTCGTGCGGCACCACTGGGCACTTGCGGAATATAAGAATTTAAAATGTAAAATCTGTCCCAAACGATTTGATCTTATAGCATTCACATAAAGAATGATGAGAACTTTTAAAGTGTGGGATACAGTTTGGTAAATTTTATATCAACATTGCGGGAATTTTCTTATATGAGTTCATAGCACAACTCAGATCCAAACAATTCGGATCCTATTATTTACTTATGCAGTTCAATTATTTATGCAGTTCACTAGGCTTTGCTTATAGTTGCAAAAAGAAAATTAAATAACCATTGGAAAGTTTCCGTATATATCATACCCGTTATCTGAACAAAACTTTTATTATTCAGAGAATTAAGATTTCCAACCATAGTACTATAGGAACATGTCGGGTAAGATATCAAGGAAAAGGAAGATAAATGACTTAACATGTCAAGTAATCTAGAAACACACATAGAAAAACAAAGAATGGAAAGAGATGATGAGAAAGAAAACAGTAGAATCATGTAATAAAATGTCGGGAAAAAACCCATTTAATAAGTCGAAATGATTCTGTTGAAGTCTTGAAGATAATAGTCCTTGCATGATCTCCGCCATCTATCATTTAAATTTCGATATCCGTATATCTTTATGGACACCTAACTTTTAGATAGGGATTGAATGATATAAGAGTTGTAGGAAATTTTTTTAAAAATAGAGAGGAGTTTATATAGTGAAAACAAAGATGATAATCAGAAGTGTCTGTAATAATATACTAGCACAAACTAGTTAATTAAGTTATAGTGTTTGTATGATGTAACTTCATTTTTTTCCTGGCATTATTTCTCTCAATTCCACCTTCATTTTCTATATATATGTAGAAGAAATTAATTTCAGCTAGCAATTTGCTTCATGATTGGTGTCGGTGAAAATGTTTTGAGAAAACAGTTAGATATTCACCATATTCGTTTGCACATCATAGTGCACCAATCACGGTACGGGATTTGAAAACTCTCTGGCTTAAAGTCCTTTAGGTAATAGGTGTTCGTAATGATAGGTGGAAGTGGAAAAGCATGGGAGAGAAAGTGATTTGTGGGACATGTAATGTAATGCTGCCCTCGTGATTTGCCGGTTTTACGGGATTCCTAATTGTTAGGTTGTTTTTGACAGTTGAGCATGCTTTTCTCTGCTGGACACCGTAATCAACTGATACGGTTGATCTTTTATAAAAAAAAAAAAAAAATTGGGTCCTCATGAAATAAAAAGTAAAACAGCAATAGTGTCACTTTTGTTTTTTCTTCGACGACAACAATAATATAATGTCATTTGTTGACAATGGAAGTCTGGTAAAAAAGTAAATAATGTATACATTTTTATTATTTTGTTGACAAAACGAGATGTTTTAGACTTATTCCTAGCGAACTCATACGACCTTAGCATATTGGGATTTCTTGTGGTTGTTGAGTGTTGACGTTCCATACTTGATCCTTGTTGAGAAACAAAAGAAATATTAAGAGACAAAGCGATAGAGTTGACGAATTTGATCTTCCATGTCTTCATGCATGGTGTGGGAAAAAAGGAATGGATGTTTACTTTTGGCCATTTCCACTAAAACTTTTTTTTTGTTGTACATTGTTAAATTCTTAATTAGCTCTTTCATTTGTCCAAAAAAAAAAAAAAATAGCTCTTTCATTTTGGTCATTTGATGATCAATTACCTCAAATACATTTTTTACAAATAAAATAACATTGTATTTTGACCTAGTAATAGGCCATAGAATTATTTTGCCAAAAAGATTTTTTAGAAGAAAAAGTCTTAATATATGCTAAGTCGAAGATTAACAAACAATTTTTGTGAAATTATGAAGTCATCTAATATAAGCTATATGTAATTTCTCTTTTCACGGAAGATAGTGCGATGGCTAAAAGAAGAAGTGCAACTTGAAGTTTTTCTAATCCAACATATATGTGTTTTGTCAAATATCTTTTGCTTTATTAATAAGAAACTTGAAAGCAAACAATCAAATTCGACAAAAAAAAACTGTCTAATGAAGATAATTACTTACTTTGATCTCTGCGTCCATAGAGAACGGACAAATTCTTCCCCTTCCCTAAAATTTTCTAAAGGTTATTTTTGGCTATTTACGGTTTGTCACAAGTTAAAAAGGAAATGTGCAAATATTTATTATTATTCTTTGACTTGAGAGTTTACTCAATATATTTGCACAACCCCTATTCAAAACAGAGATAAATAAATATGAAAGTGAATTACATTTAATTTGATGGAGTAGTACGTAGGAATCAATCAAGGAGAGAGCTAGGCCCGCTCATATCAACAAGTCTTCACCTTCACTCCACTCCACCAACAAGATTTGATCTATAAGATAAATGTGATAACGACAACGAAGATTTGAGTAATCGTAGCACATGCATCCCAAAAACTGCTTATTGTTGATCAAGGGCAAAGTAGGCAACTCTATCATGCGACGTTATCCTTTTTCTTTTGTCTATTCCTTTTTCTGTCCGTAAAGTTCGCCGAGAATTCGAAAATAAGTAATCTTATGGTAAAAAAGTAATCTTATGGTATCCAACCATATATATCTCATACGTGTGTCACATTTCATGCTATCCTCTCTAATCATTTCTTCTCTGTCGTTGTCGACCCCAAATGACTAGTATTTAACGGAATCTTGAATGAACCTAAATTTTGGTGACATGGAACTTTGTTCAGAAGCAAAAACATAAACACTTAGTTTACATCTCCTTTTGAAAGAGTTTTAAAGATTTTCATGTCATTTTAAATATTAGAACTATAGTTCCAACAGTTTAAAACTTGAGAAAGGAGATAACCCTGAATTCGTAGTTCTAAATCTAATCCGCAAAAGAACTTTCTAACTAGAGAGGTTTCGTCCATAGACATAGATAATCCTTACTACTAATTAGCGGGGTTGAATCTTCTCATGTCCAAATTTTTATTGCCATCTTGATTTATATACAAGAATATTGTTTTCACTTAGGAAATTTGGATTTACCAGAGCTTTCGGGTTACACTCTAATCTTTGCCACCATGCTGACATTTCTCTCTCTAATAAACAAATAACCAAAAAAAATATTCCTTCGTTTAAGCATACCTACGTGGCCGCATATTATGGTTTAGTTAATTGACTCGGAAACCGGTAACTAGGTCAGCTCGTTATAACACTTGGCCTTGGTGCTATAAAACTTCTGTTTGGACCCTAAAAAAGAAATTTATTTTTGGCAAAAATATTGTAGATTTTGTTCATTTACACCTACTAATAGATAAATTGGGGAAAAAATCATCAAAAAATTGCTTTACTCCATCCATAAAGTTTAATTTAAGAATATTTCAGTGCACACAAAAGGCTAGTGTTGAGACTAAGAAATTAAGGTCATTAAATCTTACTCCCTCTGTTCCTAGAAGATTGATTTTCTAAACATTTCACATTTCTTAAGAAACAATCATTGTTTAATTATTTACTTTATTAAATATTTTTAATAAACTATGAACCAATAGTAATCTGAAACAGTTAATCATTACGCCTTGAAATCTACGATTTACTAAAATCAATTAATTAAAAAAAAAAAATCTAGAAAATCAATCTTTGTGGAACAAACTCAAAACACTAAAACATCAAACTTCAAGGAACGG